GCCCTAAGGTGTAGTTTAAAGTAAATGTGTGCAATTTTTTCCAGGTCAGAGTTTGACCTTTGACTTGATGAGCCAAGCCTGCATTCCAAAAAGTAGTGTCTGGGCTGGATAAAAAGTAAAAAAAAACTCCTTTGTGTTGAGCTTAGCTCCTGGGAGTTAGATGTGTTAAGCAGACAAACTCAGAAAAGAAGACACACTTGGATTTCCTTGCTAGATCTTCCTGGCTGGTAGTGTAATGCAACAATATCTTGAAAGCAATTCTCTAGCAGCTCAATTTATACCAAGCCGAATTAAGATGGAGTTGACCTGAGTCTTTTTGTTACTCTCCTTTAGACTCAGGAATGTTTTCTGTAACAGCTCCTATGATGACCTTTCTCCCTTCTCTGCATTCTCAGGATCTGTGGATAGCTGTCGATAGATCTCTGTTGATAGATGATTGTTGGTAGATATGTTCATGTTCTTTCTTTGACAAAGATATGGAAGTTGTTTGCTACTGATTTTTTTTCTGGATTTCTTTGCTGAATAAAGACAGATCCTTGCAGAAGCTACCTAGAATCCTAGAAGGAAGGCAGGAGAAGACGTTTAACAGAATAACAGAATTGGAAGGAACCTTGGAGGTCTTCAAATCCAACCCCCTGTTCAACCAGGAGACCCTAGACCATTCCAGACAAGTGACTATCCAGTCTCTTCTTAAAAGCCTCCAGTGGTGGAGCATCCACAACTTCTGGAGGCAGGTTGTTCCACTGGTGAATTGTTCTCACTGTCAGGAAATTTCTCCTTAGTTCTAGGTTGGTTCTCTCCTTGATTACTTTCCACGCGTTGTTTCTCGCTTTTACTTTTAATAAATCTGAATTCCCCACGTGCTCAGTCTGTAAATACAAAGAAACATTTTACAAACGATGGCAGCTACTTCTTCTTGAACATAAATATTGTTCAGTGAGGCCAGGCTACAAATAGCTCGGGTGCAAGAGAGAAGCCTGCTGAAATAAGAAGCATGCAGACATCAGACTTTGCCTATCCAGCACAGGGTACCTTGAAAAGGTAACTCCAGAGGCAAATAACTTTTACCCTCATCCTTTCTAGACAAGGCTTCCTTGTTTGGGACCAGGAGACAGACTGGTTTTGCCTGATAAAGCCACTCGCTGTTTATCAGAGAGACAGAAAGAAAACAGTGTCACTCCAGCCTTTAGCCAGGATACTTGGGCCCCCAAGATCAAAGAAGGAGTCTGGGAAGGAGCAGCATCTGGGTGAGAGATAGCTAGATGGCTAGGGCTGCCCCCGTGCAGAGACACCAGGGACTTGCTAACATGTCCATGTTAATTAAGTAAGCAGAAACAGCTGTCTGGTCAAGAGATGCTCCATAGCTGAACACTAGACCACAGTCTTTGCTTGCAAAGATCCCCAGATTTAGGATGCCATCCATACGTGGTGCTCCAAGCCAGGCAGATGTTGTATTATTATTATTATTTTTAAATCAAAGGCTGTTTTCGTTCTACTTTGGAGCAGTTCCTGATTCCGGGGTTTTGCCTGGATCCAAACCCCATTTCCTCATCCTTGAATAACAAAGTTGCCCTTCTAAGCCACAGCCCAGGGGGCTCAGAGGCCAACGGGTCACAGAGCACACAGTTTTCCAATTCCTTTCAGTGCAACAGTCCAGCAGCTAGCAATGACAGGCAGAAGTGAGGAATTTGTGCCTGGAAGGCAAAAAAAAAAAAAAAAAAGCAGTCATCTCCCCCCAGTCAGGGTCCTTACCGATGTGTTCGGCTGAAATTCCGACCATCCAAGCTTAACTCATCTTAACTAACCTGAGATTGGATATTGGTTATCTTCTTTCTTCAAGAGTCCCAATTTAGCAGACTGAATTAAACTTTTTTGGAACTTTATCTCCCTGATAAAGTTAGCATTCTAACTAACAGAAGTGAAATCACAAAAAATTGCCCTTGATAATATCCGGGCATAAGGAATCTTGTTGCTGCAGATTTGAATATCTTTCACTTGCATCAATTTTCTTTCCGTCTTCCCATAATTGCTTGTCAGGATGACAAATAACATCACCAACGATTGCATCAGAGCAGTGTTCATCAAACTTGGCAACTTTAAGATGGGTGTCTGTGAAGATTCTCAGTCATCCAGGTCATAGTCGTATCAAAAGTGGCTTTTGTTTTGAAAAGGCAACTGGACTGATTTTTTAAGGAGGAAGAAGAAGGCGTGGGAGATGAAAAGACAGTTATTGACAGTTGAGATTAGTTGGTGGGAGGGGGAGATGATAGATTCTGACAGGATGGTGTGTGTGGGGGGGATGGACAGACTGACTTCAACTCCCAGAATTGCCCAATCAACATACTGGGGGAGGTGGTCCACACATCTTAAGGTTAAAGAACACTGAATTGAAGCTAGTTTAGATCAGTGGTTCTCAACCTGTGGGTTGGGACCCCATTTGGGGTCGAACGACCATTTCACGGGGGTCGCCAAACAACGCAGTCCACCATTTTTCCCCCCCTTTTCCTTAGCTGTGCTACTTCCTTTTATTCTATTGGCTTTTGAAAGCCAATAGAATAGACTCTCTTGAATAGAGTCTAATTCTATTGGCTTTCAAAAGCCGATAGGAATTGTCCAGGCTGTCTCTGCCCTGCTGAGCCCGCCAAAAGTCCCATTCTGCAAACGGTGCTGCACCAGTTGAGTAGTCCTCAACTTACGATCGGTTGAGTAGTCCTTGACTTACGACCGGTTGGGGGGTCGCGGCATTAAAAAGGTTTAGAACCACTGGTTTAGATCATATGGGTGATTTGGGCTGTTAATGGATTGACATGTTCTTTGATCAGTGGGTGGCTTTATTGACTGAAGCACTTGAGGAAAGAATAGGTTACATTCAGATTCCATGCAAGTTGTGGTAAAATGGAAGGCACAGCATTGATATGAAATAAATGTGCTAAGCCAGACCAAATGACAATGGAATTATGGCTCAGAGTGATGTGACAAGACCTGGGGGGGGGGGAAGCCTTGGGCATGAGTGGAAAGCTACTGGGGCCATCATCAGATCAAGGCATCTAAAGAGATGACTGATGAGGCAGAAGATAACCCAGACAATAGGTCATCCCTCCTGAATGTTTCATTTCCACAGACTCTTTTCTCATGCTGTTAACATAAGATTAACATTCAAAATCTAAGCAGGAAACCGCTTTCGGAAATGGAAGGCTGAAATGGGCGCACTCTTGGTTCCTTATTTTTCTACTTGCTACCAATGATCTCAGAAGTTGAAGAACATCTAAAGAAAGGGTTTTTTTTGGGGGGGGGCAGTGCAACTTTCAATCTATCTGCCCAGAATCAGCCACACTCAAAGGAATTTGCTTTCCCAGAGTTTTATCCATCATCCATTCCCTGAGGTCTTAAGAGCCATAACTCAACAAAGCATGCTTCTTTGAAGATCTGCGGACATCTACTACATGCCTATACTGATACTATACGCAAATGGAGAGTAAGAAAATTGTGGAAATGGCTTCAAGATAACCTTAGGCAACCCCAAAGGAGCAGACTGCAATTTTTATTATTCCCAGCTGGCATAACCAGGTTGGCTGGGGTAACAGGAACTGTGGCCCAACACATGTGGCTTTTAACCATGGCTAGAACCCAAGAATCAGTTGAATGTAAAACCCAAGCTATATTTCTTGGCCATTGCTCAATACTACATTTTGGTGTAAATTGATTTGAGAAAACAAAGCATGTTTTTCCCTGGTAGAAAATTGGATGCCATCTATCTGTTTTTTAGGAATGCATATTTCACGTTTAATGACAGAAAGGTGAATGGTCAGAACTAAAGTGATGTTTTCAACATAAGGGGAAGCTGATCATGTTTTTTTTTGTTTTTTGTTTTTTAGAATAAGCCTTTGCTCACCCATTTTCCTCTTCAGTCTAGCGCGATTCCCTTATGATTATGAACAGCTCAGATCAGATCTTGTTATGGATCAGGGTTACGTAATAACCTGACACACACACATGCTTAAAGGATCAAAAAACTGCATCCAGTTTTGGTCACCACGATGTAAAAAAGATGTTGAGACTCTAGAAAGGGTACAGAGAAGAGCAACAAAGATAATTAGAGGACTGGAGGCTAAAGCATTTAAGAAAAGGCTGCTGGAATTGGCTATGTCTAGTTTAACAAAGAGAAGGATGAGGGGGGATATGATGGCAGTCTTCCAGTATCTCAGGGGCTGCCCCAAAGAACAGGGAGTCAAGCTATTTTTCAAAGCGCCTGAAGGCAGGACAAGAAGCAGCGGATGGAAACTAATCAAGGAGAGAATCAACCTAGAACTAAGGAGAAACTTCCTGACAGTGAGAACAATTAACCAGTGGAACAACCTGCCTCCAGAAGCGGTGAATGCGCCAACACTGGAAGTTTTTAAGCAGAGACTGGACAGCCATTTGTCTGAAATGGTATAGGGTTTCCTGCCTGAGCAGGGGGTTGGACTAGATGACCTCCAAGGTCCCTTCCAACTTAACAACAACAATAATAATAAATATTGTGCCTTTCTTTTTCATTCAAGATATTTCCTCCTCCTCCTCCTCCTCCTCCTCCTCCTCCTGCTGTAGCACATTGATAAATAAATAACAAAAGGACAATCCCGGCACAAGACCTGTTATATTTTTGCAGGAATTATTGCAAACTCTTGCAGTAGCTGTTACAAAAATAAAAATAATAAAAAAAATCCTTTGGCACGTTTCTAACGGGAAGCAGCGCACAAATATTTAAAGCCAAGCCGAAGCCAAGCCGTGAATAAGAAAGGCTGCTTCTGGAGCAAAAAGGCGTGAATACGAATTAGGGGAAGGCTAACTCTGCCCCTGCCTCGGGGGAACTTTTCCCCACTTTCAGACGAAAAATCTCAGCGCGAGGAAAAAACGGAGAGAAGGAGACCTTCCCGGGGTCCCCGGCTTTGGGGGAGGGAGGGAGGGAGCGGGGGCTGCTGGGGGGGGGGAGAGGGCTCGCGTGTTCCTTTAAGGGGGCTGGTCCTGCCGCGGTTTCCTTTTGGGTCGCCGCCGCCCCGCCCTGCGGATCTACAACCCACTTCGCCAAAGTTGCAGGAGGCTCAGTTGGTTTTTGCCCGCCGCGGAGGGAAGTTTCAACTTTTTCGGCGGCTGCTGTTGCTGCTGCTGCTGGTAGAGTCGATTCAGGACGCTGTGGGCTGGTTGTGCCCTCTTGCTCCGTAAGTAGGAGAGAGAGGGGGGGGGGGACAGCGGGAGAGGGAGAGAGAAAGAGAGAGGGACAGGGAGAGAGAGAGAGAGAGAGAGAGAGAGGAAGGGAGGGAGAGAGAGAGAGAGAAAGGGAGATAGGGAGGGAGAAAGGGAGAGGGAGAGAGAAAGAGAGAGGGACAGGGAGAGAGAGAAAAGGAGAGAGGGAGAGAGAAAGGGAGAGAGGAAGGGAGAAAGAGAGAGAGCAAGGGAGAGAGGGAGAGAGAAAGAGAGAGGAACAGGGAGAGAGAGAGAAAGGGAGAGAGAGAGAGAAAGGGAGAGAGAGAGAGAGAGAGAGAGAGAGAGGGAGAGAGGGAGGGAGAAAGAGAGGGAGAGGGAGAAAGAGAGAGGGACAGGGAGAGAGAGAGAGAAAGGGAGAGAGAGAAAGAGGGAGAGAGGAAGGGAGAAAGAGAGAGAAGGAGAGAGGGAGAGAAAGAGGGAGAGGGAGAGAGAGGAAGAGGGAGAGGCTCTGACTTTCATCCCCTGGGGGCCGAACCCGGAGGAGGCAGGACCGGAGGCACCAATGTGCCCTCCACAATTTTAAGCCCCTTTGCGGTCCAGCTGCTAGACAACCTGATAGAAGTTAAGGAGAAATTTGCGGAATGGGAGAAGAAGGGAGGAAGTTTGCTGGGGTTACTGAGGATGCCACACACCTAGAATCAGGTCGGTGATAGACCTAGCGTGGACAGAGCCTTGACTTAGGGTTTATTTCAATTTAAGGTTTGTTTCCCCACCCATCCTTGGCTCAGGTGGTTGTGTGAACTCAGCTGTTTTGGTCCAGGAGTAATTACGTGTACTGTGCAACCCAGAACATGTGTTAATTTGGTAATTCTGCACCTTGCGGGAACACTTGTCCCGAAATGGTATACAGGGTCTCCTGCTTGAGCAGGGGGTTGGACTGGAAGACCTCCAAGGTCCCTTCCAACTCTGTTATCCTGTTAAATCTACCAAGGAGAAGATTCCCGATCATTAAGAGGGGGAAAAGACACTTCGGAACATCCCTGCATCTTATTGGCGTATTGTCAGGTTGCACAAAGCAGTACAAGTTGGTTTTATTTGGTCTTTTTCCCATTTGTGTTGGAGAGCAGCGGAGTTTTGAAGTTCCTCCCAACGGCGCCTTGATCTTGAGAAGGAACCGACAGAACCGATGTCTGCAAGCGTGGAGATGCCTCTCCTATTGTCAAGGTGGGCTTTGCTGCCGAAGAGAACGGAAATGTATGGTCTGATCATGTTGCATGGTTGGGAAATGTCCCTTTGCACTTAGTGGCCGGTGACATCTTAAAAAAGAATATTGAAGGGTGAGCCAACCTGTGTAAGTATGAAATTTACCTGGCCACTATCTGAAATCAGGGAAGAAACAGGAGGATGGGCATCCATTCTCAGCCCAGCCGGCAGAGAACTGCTGATATGAAAGAAAGTTTTAGCCGGCATAAAATGGATATCCAATTACAACATCCTTGGATGGAGCCAGGATAAAGTTGAAGTGAATAAGGAAAGGAAGTGGGGAAAACTTGCCCAAAGTAATTTTATTTTATTGTATCCCACCTTATTTTTTATATATAAATAACTCAAGGCAGCTAATATGCTTCTTCTTCCTCCTGTCTTCTGTACAACAACAATCTGTGATGTGGGTTGGGCTGTGAGAGGGACTGCCCCAAATTCACCCATGCCTAAGGCGGGAGTAGAACTCACCGGCTTCTGGTGATTGGCCCAAAGCCACCCAACTGGCTTTCATGCCTCAGGCGGGACTAAACTCAACAGGTCCTGGTGATTGGCCCAAAGCCACCCAACTGGCTTTCATGCCTAAGGCAAGACTAGAACTTACTGACTCCTGGTGATTGGCCCAAAGCCACCCAACTGGCTTTCATGCTTAAGGCAGGACTAAAATCAACGGGTCCTGGTGATTGGCCCAAAGTCACCAGCCAGCTTTCACTAGAACTCACAGTCTCCTGGTTTATAGTCTGGTGCCTTAACCACTAGACCAAACTGAAAAACTGGTAACCAGGCCAATGTAAATAAAAATCATTTTCCTAGAAAAAGGACAACTGAAAGGAATAACCTGTGAACTGTTATGTTCTAGCAGAATGAGATGAACTGTCGGATTGCCACCCAAGAATTGTGAAATTGCATGATTATTTGACCCATTAATTTTTACCTACTGCTGATTAAGTATTTGCAATACGCCATGACTTCACTTCAGGCTGGGGAATTCTATGCATTGTATGACTACACTGATGTGATGAACTCTTTCCATCTGGCTTATGGGTTGGGACGAACTAAGCAAATGCATAGCTGGATGTTTTGCACAGCTTGTCTCTTGGAATCTATGAGAGCAGCTCTGCATTTCTACATATGCTTGGAAACCTGTCCCACTGAGCTTGCAAATTTTCTAACCCCCCCCCCAGTGTAACCATGTGTCGGACTGCAGCACCGGTTTCTTCACAATGAGTTTGGGGATCTGTTGATAATACTGAAATGCTGATGTCTTAAACCTGCTTTACATCAAGTGTCCGTTTTTTTTTCTTTTGGGGAGATGCCAAAGTCTTTTTGTGTGTGTATGTATGTATGTATGTATGTATGTATCTATCTATCTATCTATCTATCTATCTATCTATCTCTCTCTATATATATGTATATATATATATATATATATATATATATATATGTATATGTATATTTTTTAGGTTGCTAACAAAGAATAAAGAGAGAATGGTATAGCTATTTCGAGTTCCTTTAACTCTCTTCAGCCAAACTTACTCTTTCTGAGATTCGAACCTGGGCTATCTGCATGTTAGGCAGTTGTTATAACCTCTAAGCCACAGGCTCTCCTCACTTTGTCAGCTGTATCAGGAGAGAGACGGGGAGGAGATTTTTACCTTGAATGAACACCCTGTTAGCATCTTTTCAGAGGAACTCTATGGCTCTGACGAAGTGGGCGCAAGCCATGAAAACTTGTGCTTTTTAATAAAGTTGTGAGTTGGAAGAGTTGCTTCCAGCCTCTTCCTGATAAAGAAAGGCAGTAGACAGATATGTTGCAAACTAATTAAGTCATCATCAGCTGAGAGACGTGTCTCATTTTTTTTTTTTTCCAAAATTCCCTTCTGACTTGGCCCCTTCCTATTAATGATGCCAGGGAAACTATTCTGCATTCATCCAACCTTTGGAAATTCACGACTCATCTTTGACTCAAGTATGCCTTTGGAACCCAAGTCTTAATGTTGGCCATGTATTTCTGCTACTTTGGCGATCCTTTTACTATCAGGCTAGTAAACGGATCCCAACTGAAGAAGGACGAAGGAATTCTTCTAGCTCTTTTGTGTTGGCCAATGAATCCTGACTTTTTATCTAATTCTGTAGCTGATTACTTTTACCCCTTTGCTTCTTCAGAACAGAAACTGACTTTGGGATACAGGTAATCCTCAACTTAGGACCACGACTGAGACCAAAAGTTACGTTAAGTGAGACACTTGCTAAGTGAGCTTTGCTGTTCCACTGGTTAATTGTCCTCACTGTTAGGAAATTTCTCCTTAATTCCTGGTTGCTTCTCTCTTTGATCAGCTTCCAACCATTGTTTCTCGTCCTTCCCTCTGCTTCTCTGGTGAACAACCTGGCCACCTCTGCCTTGTGGCAGCTGCTCAAATACTGGAACACTGCTATCATGTCTCCCCTATTTCTTCTTTTCTTCAGACTAGCCAAACCCAAGTCCTGCAGCTGTTCTTCATACGTTTTAGTCTCCAGGCCTTGGATCATCTTAGTTGCTCTTTTCTGAATTTTTTCCAGACTCTCAACATCTTTTTTGTGATATGGTGACCAAAACTGGCTGCAGAATTCCAGGTGTGGTCTCACTAGAGTCAAGCTGCATTTCTGGCAACTCTGTGGATATGGTTGTTTTAACGTACATCCTTTGGATTCCTTGGTGAATTCCAGTGCAACCCCTGGTTCTGCTTAGATTTTGTAGATCAAGGAAGATTAACTACGGCCCTGAAGAAGCTCCTTGAAATTTATGGGACTTGCCTCTATGTTAGTTTACACTTGGCTGTTAAAAATCTGAATGAATCTTCTAGGCACCTCTGAATTGGCAAAAACTGATAGCAAAAAAGGTCAAGTTAATTGTTTTACTTCCCATCTGCCAGATAAAAAAAGGATTATCTTGTTTGGATTGTATGTAGTATCTACACTTCTTCCTATGTTGTTAAGTCCAAATTTGATAGATTAGTGATCCCTACCCACTTCTGTTTTATTTCATCATTCCTATAAGTTAACTTTTTTTTTTTTTTAAAAAATGTAGAATGTACAAGGATGTCTTTGATTTTTTTCCCCCCTTCTCTGTGGGAAATCTAAAAAGAATGGCAACGTGTAATTTACCCTTGTCAATGCTATTATTACATGATAAATAATGGTGGGACTTTGAAGAGGCATTGTGTTGGTGTTTTTAAAATAAAAGTCCTTCCAAAGACCGTAATCACAATTTATACTGGACAATTTTGAGAGAAATAAAGTGTTTGGGGGAAGGGAAGATATGGTTAGCTGCACAAAAGATGAACGTAGAACACAGAATAATAGAGTTGGAAGGGACCTTGAAGGTCTTCTAGTCCAACCCCCTGCTCAGGCAGGAAACCCTATACCATTTCAGACAAATGGTTGTCCAATCTCTTCTTGAAAACTCCCAGTGTTGGAGCATTCACAGCCTCTGGAGGAAGATTGTTCCACTGGTTAATTGTTCTCACTGTCAGGAAGTTTCTCCTTAGTTCTAGGTTGCTTCTCTCCTTGATTAGTTTCCACCCGTTGCTTCTTGTCCTGCCTTCAGGTGCTTTGGAAAATAGTTTGACCCCCTTTTCTTTGTAGGAGCCCCTCAAATATTGGAACATTGCTATCAGGTCTCCCCTAGGCTTTCTTTTTATCAGACTAGACATATCTAATTCCTGTGATAACAGCTCCAACTAAGACATGGACAATTTGTAATATTAAATATATTTATTTTCAGCCCGATGGCACCCACTTACGTCTATCTATGTCAAATTTGCAAAGGAATATGCAGTTTGGGACAAGAAATTTAAGCACAGCTCCTGTTCTATTTTTTTTCCACCTTCCATTCCATTCCTGGAAAAATCCTTGCAGTTTTCGTAGCCAGGTTTTTCAAATGTGGTTTGTCATTGTCTCCTTCCTAGGGCTGAGAGTGACTGGCCTAAGGTCACCGAGCTGGCTTTGTAAGTAAGGTGGGACTAGAATGCTCAGTCTCCTGGTTTGCAATGTGATGCCTTTACCACTATACCACACTAGCTCTCATTGAAATTAGGCAAACATGAAAGCATGCCGTTTGCTTGCTTGATTGAAAAAAAAAAAGGCAGATAAATCTGTCCTTTTTTATTATGCTCCTTAGCGTGAGCAAATCTACGATACAGTACAAAATTGCTTAATACGAGGATTCCACTTTCAGCTTAGGTCTGCTTTAAGAACATGGATGCTGGTTCTTGGACCAGATCAGTTTGTCACTCATAGCACATGTAGCTTGAAAATTTCTCCCAGATATATCAGTTTGCATTTTGCCTCTTTAGTTGATTGTTCCTTTTCAAGAGTTGGGTTTAGGAATGAGGTGGTACAGATTCAAAGCGTTAATAAGCCAGGTTCAGGAGCGATGCGTAATATAATGCATATGTATAGTCTTAGGCTAACCTTGGGTCAGCTGGACTTTGAAACGAATTGATCTCTCCTAGTAGTTGTGAGGATAAAGTGTTACAGGAGTGGAGAGGGCACACCCACAACCGTGAATTTCTGGAAGAAAAATTGGGCTGCAAATGTAATAAATACAGGTAGCCCCAATGGTTTGCACCACTTTGCACCAGTTCGGCAGAACCGGTAGCTAATATTTTGTTGCCCAGGCCCAGAATGGACTTCCGGAAGTGGCATCCAAACAGAGAACCGGTTGTTCACATATTTAAATCCTGCCACTCCTTCCTTCCTTCCTTCCTTCCTTCCTTCCTTCCTTCCTTCCTTCCTTCCTTCCTTCCTTCCTCCCTCCCTCCCTCCCTTCTTTCCTTCCTTCCTTTTTCCTTCCTTCCTTCCTTCCTTCCTTCCTTCCTTCCTTCCTTCCTTCCTTCCTTCCTTCCTTCCTCCCTCCCTCCTTCCTTCTTTCCTTCCTTCCTTTTTCCTTCCTTCCTTCCTTCCTTCCTTCCTTCCTTCCTTCCTTCCTTCCTTCCTTCCTTCCTTCCTTCCTTCCTTCCTTCCTTCCTTTGGTGGGATTCAGCCAGTTTGCACCACTTCGGCAGAACTGGTAGCTAATTTTTTGTTGACCAGGCCCAGAATGGACTTCCGGAAGTGGCATCCACACCGAGAACCAGTTGTTCACATGTTTGAATCCCACCACTGGGTAGCCCTCAACTTATGAGCCCAATTAAGCCCAAAATTTATCTTGCTAAGTGAGAAACTTGATGAGGTCTGCCTCCTTTTACGACCTTTCTTGCCGCAGTTGTTAAGTGAATCCCTGCAGTTGTTAAATTAGTAACAAGGCTGTTGCGTGAATCTGGCTTCCCCATTGACTTCGCTTGTCAGAAGGTCGCAAAAGGGGATCACGTGACCCCGGGACCCTGCGACCGTCATAAATATGAGTCAGTTGCCGAGCGTCTGGATTTTGATCACGTGACCTTGGGGATGCAGCGACGGTCATAATGTGAAAAAAAGGAGATAGGTCACTATTTTCAGTGACGTCGTAACTTTGAACTGTTGTAAGTTGAGGACTACCTGTCAATGCAACAGAAGACTGGCATGATTTAAATGTCAAAACAAAGCCAATTTTGATCGCATTCACTAATGTCGTAGATGAGGCTGCTGCATGCGAAGTTCTGAATTTAAAAATGATAAGTTGGCCATAAGTTGGATCTTTGCTTTTACAGCATCGTTGGCAGGATCCTTTGCTTCCACACCTTACTTTGCATCTTGCATTCAAGGGACTAAATAAACAGAGATTTGGCTGAAATCCTAAATCCTGATATGCTTAATAGGATGTGTCTATATAAAGATGTGTTCAACTCCTTTGGCCATGTAATGAGAAGGAAGGACTCACTGGAGAAGAGCCTGATGCTGGGAAAGATGGAGGGCAAGAGAAGAAGGGGACGACAGAGAAGGAGGTGCCTGGATGGAGTCACTGAAGCAGGAGGCGTGAGCTTAAATGGACTCCAGAAGATGGTAGAGGACAGGAAGGCCTGGAGGAACGTTGTCCATGGGGTCGCCATGGGTCGGACACGACTTCTCAACTAACAACAACAATATAAAGATGTGTACAGATGCTCAGTTAGGCCACAGCCTAGGGCTCAGTTCCATGACAGCTATTGGAATCAGCGGTACTTAACTTGCATAGGATTGAGCTGTTAGCTTAGAAACATGAGCAGACAGATGAATGCGCAAACAAGCAAAGAAATACTTTGGCTGTAAAAGTGAAATGTGTCTCCAGCACATCTCGATAGTAAAAAAGGACAATTACCCTTAGTTTAGGCACACTTGGACTTAACGCCAGGCATTTTGCTTTTAAACAAATGTGGCTTGCACAAAACCATGATGTGATTGGCTTGGTTTGGACTTCATATGCAGATTCAGTCACTGTGGGTTGTTAAACCAGGATCAAGGACCTGAATTCAAGAACCTGAATTGGCTTATTCAAGAAATAGAACATAGAATCTTAGAGCCTCAGAGGTCTTCTGATCCAACACCCAAGCAGGAGGCCTTATGCCATCCTGCTCAAAAGGTGGTCCACTCTATTTTTGAAAACCTTCAGCGATGGAGCATCCTCAGCTCCAGGAGGCATGCTGTTCCATTGGTTAATGGAAATTTCTCCTTGGGTCTCTTTTTAACAAGCTCCCACCCATCGCTTCTTTTCCTGCCCTCTGGTGCTTAAATGTGGCTTGTTCAAGAAATGTAAGCAAATTAGAGGATAGCACATTTGGAATGCTCCTATCAGCTGGCTAGTTATGCTGTTTCCTGATACCTGCTTTTCCATCTTCTTGGGTTTCTGCCACCCACTCCCCGCAGTAAGCCTTTTCTGAGATGTTGGCTATATTTTGCTGTGATTTGGCACATCAGCTTGCACTTACCGTAATGACTGCCTTTTACATCTTTCCAGGGTTCACAAGGCTGAGAAAGGCACTCATTATTGGGTTCCCTGAGCAAGAAGCCAAGAGTGTGAATTTCTGCAATATGTGACTGTGATGAGGAAGGCCATTTAAGGACTTTGATAAGAAGATGGGTGTGTGTGTGTGTGGGGAAATCTTCTTTATAAAGGTGTAGACAGAAAGATGGCAATTTTGAAAGGAGGTTCAGTGAGTTAACCGTGGCTAATTGACTGCAGTGAGTTGGCTATGGCGAGTTGTCCCATTCTGTCAATCTTTGCCTAGCCCAGAGGCCAAAATGTCAAAACTCAAAAAGTCTGAGCAGATGAGCTACAGGGAAAAAAATGAGTGATGGGTGCAAAGCGCCCTCTGTCGGCACAAAGAAAGAGCATTTTGAGATTCCATCTACTGCGGGAGGCAATTTGCAGTAATTTTGCCCTGCAAAAAAGAGAAAAAGAGATCCATTCTTGCATTAGAGATAAGATAAGATAACCTTTATTGTAATTTTTTTTTTACTGTGGGCACAACGGCACACACCGTGAGTACAAAAATGCAGCATCATAAAATGTTTTAGATTCAAAGAATAGAAAAGAACAAAGATGTACTGAGAAGTGGTTTTCCCAATAGTTTTCTTTCTTTCTTTCTTTCTTTCTTTCTTTCTTTCTTTCTTTCTTTCTTTCTTTCTTTCTTTCTTTCTTTCTAAAAAAAACAGGTTTTGGAAACTTTGGAATTAAAATGTTTTATGGCACTTGGAGAGCCATAAAAGCATTCCGAAATAGTTTTGCCCAGATAGGTAACAGTACTTAGCTGACCTTGGCTGATCATAAAAAAGTCTAAGCAGGATCACTTGGAGGAGACATCCGTAGGAAATTCCAGAATTATAGGCTAGAGGAAAAGTTAGTAAAAGTTCCTTGAAGGAGGAAATTACAAGCCGCTTCAGGACTGCTGCCAAGGAACTGGCCATCTTTGTGCTGTCACCGGAAATAGAACTCAAGTTAAAGGAATCTTTATCCTTTTAAGTGTAGGCTTCTGTGCTGTTATGCGCTCAAGGATACTTGCACCATTTAAATTAAAAAAAAAAAAGATGAAACACAGCAGAGAAAAACTACAAAAAGTGGTTTATGGAGAAATCCATGAATTCTGAGGGAAGAGGAACAACCTTCTAAATATGTTCATTTTAGGTATCAAATGTAGAGACCACCCATCTCACAGGGTGAAATAAAAGGATGGTTTCATGAAGTCATGACACTTGAACATTTTTTTTCAGGAGATGCAGATAAAAGTCAGATTCTGAATGCAAAGAAACCAAGCCAAACAAAACCATCTTCCCAAACAGAATATGAGTTTCTAATAGACTATAAAAAAAAAAAAGATCCAAGCATCATTTGAAGTTTGGAAGCCAGGGAGAAATGCAAAGGTGGGAAGAAAAAGCATAGGTGAACTTGGATCCTTAAGAAGACCGTTTAAACATCCTATTTGTACCGAGACATTTATTTTCCATGGAATGGAATGGAATGGACAGATTGTAGAATAGAGTAGAATAGAATAGAATAGAATAGAATAGAATAAGCAATAGGATATAGAATAGAATAGAATTCGGAATAGAGTAGAGTAGAATAGAATTCGGAATAGAATAGAATAGAATAGAATAGAATAGAATAGAATAGAATAGAATAGAATAGAATAGAATAGAACAGAACAGAATAGAATTCAGAATAGAATAGAATTCGGAATAGAGTAGAGTAGAGTAGAGTAGAGTAGACTAGACTAGACTAGACTAGACTAGAATAGAATAGAATAGAATAATAACTTTATTGTCACTTTAAATGTACACTAATCAGCATACATTAACATGAGATTTCATTGCATACAGCTCTCAAAGGGTAATACACTGCATAAACATAACAAAAATAAATAAAATAAATTATGCATATACCCACATGCACACACATATGTGGTCCAGAGAAACAACACAGTCTAGTTCGGATGTATACATATACGTGGCAAGTAAAATGAATCTTGCGAGGCCTGAGGAACAAAGTTATTACAGAATCTGGTAGTCCTACCGTATGGTCTAACCTGGATGGTTTCTACCTTCGCTTGACAGGTTTTCCTTCCAGTTCCAGAGTCTCCCAGAAGCGATGCTCTTCCCCCTGGTGGTGATGCTGCTACAGATTGGAAGAACTCATGGCGGCCTCCCTTTCTACAATGGCTTCTACTATGACCGAGACATGAATGATAAAGGTGATGATAAAGGAGATGGAGAGGGTAGCGTTTGGACAGGAAAATGAATACCTGGCTTGGCGGACAGAGAAAAACAGTTGATTCACTGAAAATGTATAGAAAAATCAGGGCTCCAAAATGAGAATATTAGAGCGTACGGGAGAAGAATAAAAACTGTTAGTTGGGCCTTCACAATTTTCCATTTAACTTTGATATGGTTTATGGACAACTGGGTCAGAGAACTATTTGACCTAACAAGAAATGTGCACATTTTATAGCACTGCAGTTAGTTGCAAATTACATTAAGTGGCAAAAATAGCTCTACTGAGTTAGTCCCAGGTCCATCTTAGTCCAGCCTTTTGTTTGCCTTCAGGGCAGTTTATGGCCTTTGGGCCACATCTGGTCCTTTGGTTGTCCCTGTCTGGCCCACAGGGTTTGCTTATATTTTGAAGGCAACTGCTATTATTTTTCAATTTATCTATGTGAGTGTGTGCATGCCATGTACCTTCACTTCCCTCCACAATAGTCCAGTTTCTGATGTGGCCCCTTGGGAAAATTTATTGCCTGGCCCTGCTTTAGGGTGTCTGCAAACAGGAGCTGGAAACACACCTTCTCCCACTGTAGTTCACCTGAGATGCACCTTCTCCCACTGTAGTTCACCTGAGACACACCTTCTCCCACTGTAGCTCACCTGAGATGCACCTTCTCTCACTGTTGCTCACTTGGGACACACCTCCCACTGTAGTTCACCTGACACACACCTTCTCCCACTGTTGTTCACCTAACCCAGTGTTTCTCAACCTTGACAATTTTAAGGCATGTGGACTTCAACTCCCAGAATTCCACAGCCATCATTGCTGGCTGTGGAATTCTGGGAGTTGAAGTCCACATGCCTTAAAATTGTCACGGTTGAGAAACACTGACCTAACCTGACATTTTGAATGTCTTGCCTGACATCTGACCTTGGCTTCTTCCTTCCTCAGCTCTGCTCAATGGTGTTCGATTGATGGTGGAGACCTCTGAAGATGCCATCTTTACCCAGCGTGGTGCTAACATTACACTGCCCTGCCATTATCACTACGCACCTAAGCTGGATGCCCCTCGTAGGATCCGTATCAAATGGTCCAAGCTTCGGGAAGACAACTCCAAAGACCGAGACGTGTTGGTCGCATCTGGGCGAAATCACCGCAGCTTTGGCGAGTTCCGTGGACGGACTCATCTGCAGCAAGATTCTCCTGACGAAGTTTCCCTGGTGATCAACGACTTGCGCTTGGACGATGCCGGGAAGTACCGCTGTGAAGTCATTGATGGTCTAGAAGATGAAAGTGGGACCGTGGATCTAGAACTGCAAGGTGGGTAGGATGGGGTTGATGTGACCAATAGCCTGAGGTATTTATGATGTGATGAAGAAGTTGGCCTTGAACTGGGGAGACCCAGTTGACCTCAGAGCTTCAGGATGATGTTGAGAGAGACAGATGCTGTCAGGCAGGAAGAATCAGGACTGCACATTAAGTTCCATCTAAGACGATTCTGTTGATCATCCAGTTAAGATGGTCAAGCTTTTTCACAAGAATCAAGGCAACTAATGGTCAGCACTAAAATGGCACTAGATAAGAATCAAAAGAATTCAAGGGGGCTGGACTTGGATGCTTAGGACAACGTAATGATTCTAGACTGATTACTCTCTTGACCCCACCCCCAGGTTCTGCCTGCTCTTCTAAAGATACATTTCCCTCACTAGGTTATTGTAGTAATAAAATAGAGGGCAATTTCCATATATGCTCTCTTGAGTTTTCAGGTAGCTTTCAGACAGATGCAAAAACACAGTATATTAAAAATGTACAACCAAGCCACAGAATGAAATGTCTCCAAATCGTAATTATATTAAGAGAACGTTGCATAACGATGAATATATTCTTGAAAAACAAATTAAAGGGTATAACTTATGGGACAGCTATGTACCCTAGACAAAAGAGTAAGGAGAAATGTGTATTGGAGAAAGAGATACAAAAATGTGTGTGAGGCTTTTAAAAGTATGTGTATGGAGTGAAGATATGAATACAAAATGCAAAAAACAAGACGTTTAATTTGATGCATTAGCTTCTGAGTAGCAAGAAGGTATTTTGCTGTTTTATTTAGAAACTTAGTAAGGTCAACAAAGATGATAGCTAGGTAGCTAGATGGATGGATGGATGGATGGCTCAATCAATCATATTTATTTTGGTAAGTGACCAGATAACATTAGAGTTTCTTCTTTTTGGCCACCAGATGTCACTAGCAACCTGTCATTTCTTTATTGGTATCATTTTGATGTAAGCAGCCTATGGTGTGATTGCTTTGACATAATCCAGATCTAAAGCAAAGATATGCCCTCTGCAATCTGGAGATATATTTTAAAAACCATTTAAAAACCATTTCTTGCTGACTAAAAATTCCAGCTGTTACTATCAGTAGGGCTAGCGGTGAGGGAGGCTATGTGTGTTCCAGTGGAAGAACGTCTAGATTGCCACAAGTTGCCCACCTCTGCTTTACACATTTTTTTCCCCCAAGTTAAAATCATTTAAGTTGGGTTTGATTCACTCCTCCAAATTCTGGACATCAATGTGATTGTGTACTTTGTTCTGAATGTTGCATTATCCCGTTATGAAATGTATAGATTCAGTAATCTTTTCATTTACTGTGTATTCATTCACTTTTCCCAATTCAGGAGTGGTCTTTCCTTACCAGCCTCCCCATGGACGCTATAAGCTTAACTTCCACGAAGCCAAGAAGATCTGTGAAGATCAGGATGCAGTAATAGCTTCCTTTGACCAGCTCTTCAAATCCTGGTTAGACGGCTTAGACTGGTGCAATGCTGGTTGGCTGATTGATGGCACAGTCCAGTACCCTATCACGGTACCACGGGAACCTTGTGGTGGGCCTCACTTACAACCAGGTATCCGAAGCTATGGAGAACGTCACAAGAACCTCCATCTCTTTGATGTCTTTTGTTTCTCTTCTGCTCTGAAAGGTGAGTGCAGTTATCTTAGGGACAGCGACTATTTTTAGAAGCAGATGTATTGAGAAAGAAGTGATAGGCTGGAGATCTTTCATCTTTTTGGTGATGTCCATGTTCTGATATCATTTGTGATCCAGTGATAGCATGTCCTGTACACATGTCTGCTTTGAAGGAGCTTTGGAAACAGAAATTAATCAAATGAAAAGGACCAAATGACTAGACTATGGACTGGACCAGTTGATGGGAACATAGGGAGCTATCTTCAAAGATAGACTATGGATTCATTGTTGGACCTCTTAGCTTAAAGAGGTCAAGGATGGAATAACATTTTCATGGGAAAAAAAGCGTTCTTGCATTTTGTTGTATTTTGTAGCTCAACATAATAGAACTTCACTTTTGGATACATATATAAGACAGTCTTCTTCTCTAACACAGGAGCTAGGCTGTGAAAGTGTCTCCTTGAGACACTTGCTGTCTTGAAAACTTTAAATGTTGCATCATTTTACTTATTTTGTTTGGCTTTCAGCTTGAGTTGAAATCAACCTCAACTACAATTTTGCTGTTTTGGTGGCTCATTAATCTCCCATCACCTAGTGAGTGCCCTTGATATTTATTGAACTGCAATTCCCAACACCATTAGCCAATGTTCTGTTAACAGCTGTCATTGTGTACAAATAAGAGGACACCTTTTTTTTTTTACAGTGGTTCAACTCACATATCACTTGCTTATCACTTTAAACTTTAGGTTAGCGCAGTGCAGAAACTCATCCAACGAGTCTCGCAAACCACTGTTTATGCCTTAGTATTGTGTCATCTTTACCCCTCTGACTTGTTTAACAAATAACGTTTAGCATAAACTATGTTAGCCAACAATTGGCTTGTTTGATTATAATAAGCTCAACTGGTAGATGCAAACCTAAGCAGCTGCCATACATTCATTCTCTTTTCTATTTAGCAATTCTGACTTTTTATTATATATATATATATTTAAAAAAATACATGAATATCAGTAAAATATTCTTTGACCACCCAAATAGGGACTGTCTACTATCTTGGGCACAAGAAGAAATTCACCTTAGAAGAAGCCAAGCAGGCGTGCCAAGATGACCAAGCCGAAATTGCCAAGGTGGGTCAGGTCTATTCAGCCTGGAAATTCCTGGGCTTGGATCGCTGTGATTTTGGCTGGCTGGCAGATGGCAGTGTGCGCTATCCCATCGCTTCTCCCCGACCCAACTGTGGTCCACCAGAACCAGGCGTCCGAAGTTTTGGCTTTCCCCAAACTGGGAAATTTGGAGTCTACTGTTACAAGATGAGCTAAGGAAAAGCTTCCTTCATCCGTGGACAGCGTCCTTTTTATCACCACTAGAGTTTATTATTTAAAGGGCCAGTCTCTGGGGGAGGGGGTCTGTTTTAACTGTATGTTTTCAAGTTTCTGTTTTCTTTTGTAATGAAACCAAAAATGCTGTACAAGCTGTGAGATGGAAATTGAGCTGCCTTGGTGCTGATTGGAGGAATTTCCAGTTTCATTGCCCATTTAATCATGTGGTGGGAAAACCTGAGCTTAGGGACGGGGCACGTGCGAGTGAGAAGAGGTTCATCTTTTTATGATGTCTTTTGCAATGGGCTCCTGACAACAGCTGTCAGTCAGATTAGGAAGCCATGTGAAGTACCAGTTAGGCAGCTCTCAACTCTCTTGAGAAAGGAATTCCTGCTCCAGTGCAACATTCCCAACTCTTAGGAGCATATGATCTCAAGTGGTCCAGTATTTACAACTTTTAAACCGAAGTGGCCATTTTAACAGCTCAGGACACTGTACGATAAGTGACTACATTATTACTTAAAAGGCCTTGAAGGATCAGAAATAAGATCCGTTTGTCTTCTGGCTGGTTGGCAAGAATCTCCGGACAAAAATGGATGCAGAAGAGGCTGTTTCTCGATATCTTTTCTCCAGTTCTTCAGGACGTCAGTATGAACTGTGGAAAATGTGATTCCTTCCGATAAATGATGAAATGGACCTAGATCCATATTGAGCAGCGCCTGTTATGTCACGAATTCATCCCCTCCTCTCATCTTTTTATAAAGTGACAAGAAAGTGGAATGGCTGGACGGAGTTAGCACAATAGGCTGTGCTGTCTTGTATTTTGTTTGGGGTTGGCGTCGATAGTTGTGCAACCTCAACCATTCAGTAAACCATAGTTAAACGATGGCTTGGAGTAATGTCTGAATCAAGGTTTCTATCTTTGTACAGCCATACACATAAACCTCCTCTAATTTAGAGTTAGACCGGTTTGAGGAGAAAACAAAGAATCATTTTACAATCTGATGTTCAGCTTACTATAAGGGCAGGCAAATATGGGCCTGGATTAACACATCTCACTGAGCCATGTTGTTGTGTCACTTTTTTTCGCAGAACAAGCGAAAGTCCGTTAATGGACCAATTGCTTCCTTACCTTTTGTATTGTCAAATGTGACTTGAACATTGTCTTGTGGGGTCTAAAGATGGGGGTCTCTGGGATGTCTGCTAATAAAACTGGGAAGAAACCACCCAAAAAAGTAACTTGGGAGATCAATTGCATGCTCCATCCTGATTACAGAAGCTGCCCATCAACCAATCCTCAATTTCTCCAGAAGTTTTTTTTTTCTTCTACCCAATTCTACTGGAACAGAAATAGCACCGAGGTGGGTAGTGGGATAACAAGTTTAATTCGGAGCATTTTGGAGCAGGATGGCATGAAAGTGTTGAAAAGTGAGATGCCTTGGGTGGAGGGGTGGGAAGGAAACGTGGTGGGGGAGACGAGAGGGGCCAACGGGAAAACTGGAAGGCTGATGGAAGGGGCTTTGAATGAGCTACATTCATAATGACTAATGAAAGGTCTCTGTTGTTTAGAGCACAGATTGAAACTCTCTGCCTAAACATTGAAATCAAATTAAACTCCGTCTTCACGTGAAGAGTCTAAATTGTTTGCAGAGGTTGCTCTACTGGTCTTACAGTTAAAGTCAGATTAAGACTACAGGGGGACGTTACCACGTTTTGGGCTCAGATGGTGTTGACCCCTTTGCTGTGTGTAGGACAGCACAGGGTCTGATGGAGAAGTGTGTCTTCATCTCTTTCCTGCTTACTTTCCTAATAGCTTTGTACCAACAAAGGAGCATATTTGTAGCCCAGAGTTGGAATGAGGGGTTCTTGGTGCTCTTGCAGCTTGGTTGTTTTCTTGCAGGTGTTTCATTACCCTAACTAGCTACCATCATCGGTGCTAGCCTGATGATGTTATCTGATGTTATCATTAGTACTGATGATGTTACCTAGTTTGGGTAAGGAAACAAGCAAACTTGGAGAGCACTAAGGACCCCCACAGTCCTCCTCCCCTCCTCCCCCTCTTCCTCCTCCTCTTCCTCCTCCTCCAAGTCCTCTACCTTCTAGCACTGATGATGTTACCTAGTTTGGGTAATGAAATGTCTGCAAGAAAACAAGCAAGCTTGGAGAGCACTAAGGACCCCCACAGTCCTCCTCCTCTTCCTCCTCCATCACCACCTCCTCCACCACCACCTCCTCCTCCACCACCTTCTAGCGCTGATGATGTTACCTAGTTTGGGTAATGAAACGTCTGCAAGAAAACAAGCAAGCTCAGAGAGCACCAAGGATCCCCACAGTTGTCCTCCTCCCCGTCCTCCTCGTCCCCATCCTCCTCCTCCTCCTCCTCCTCCTCCTCCTAGCACTGATGATGTTACCTAGTTTGGGTAATGAAACGTCTGCAAGAAAACAAGTAAGCTCAGAGAGCACCAAGGATTCCTAATAGCTTGGTCATAAAGCCCTCGGCTACCTTCTTCCCATCTACTTGGATGCTAGCACTGTTACGATTTCAGAACTATAAAATGGAGCTTTCTACCACCCTGCTGTTAAAGAGAAAAAAGAATGATTTGAGGATAAGAACCACGTGACTATAAGGAAAGTAAGCAAGCACAATGGGACGAGCGTTTGTAAATGTTAACAAACCACCATAAAAGGACGTACAACATAGGAGGATGCTTCAGCCAGCAATGTCAACTCTTCTGCCAGCACTGTCAACTCTTCAAGACTGATGTTAGGTGTATCTTTTGAAGGCCCTGTCACCATCTCCTCCTTGTGGGTCTTCTGAGCTATGGGGTCTTAGCTGTCCCCCCCTTTTTGGACATGACCCTACAGTACCCACAAGCGCTGCACGTAGCCCGATAATCAAATACATTCATGCATCCAGGTGCACCTCCCTCCTCCCCAAGTGCATGCAAATAGCACCTCAGCCAGGATAAATTACAACAATTTTTATTGTACAGGATTCACCACAGCACTAACAACAATAGGCTTGGCTCTTTTCCATTCCAGAGTTGCTTTTTTGTGCACAGGACTTTAAAAGAAGGAAAAAAAAAATCTGGGGCTCTTTTCCTTGATGTTTTTTTTTTTTTTTTTGCCCTGCCCCCGAGATTTTCCCCATTCCCCATTGAATACAGAGCACACACTCAAAGCTGGGCTCCTACCAGCATCTCAGAGACATTGGCAAGTCCATTTAAGTTACTGTAAAAATGACTTCCTCGCGATTTCCTCTCTGCTTTCAGTTAATATAACATATGTATTTTAAAAAATATAAATAGGTGCAGGGAATCTCAAGTGCCCTGCACCATTCCCTGTGAGAGAGAATATACCATCTCAAGATGGGAGCTGCTTTGCCTGCTTTATGTGTCCGGGGGAATAAAACTGCAGCAAGAAGAAACATAGGCATATGAAATTGCGTGACCGTTCGCCCCAGCCCATTCCCACAACATAAAAATGGGGAGAGGGGGAACGAGTCAGAAGAGATGCAGGGTCAGCTTCAGCTAGGACCACCAGAGTCTTGACCACAAAGGTGTCTGGAGCTGAAAAAGGGCAGTAAAGGTGTGGAGTTTTGTTCTGCCCCTTTCTTACCTGTTTGCATTTGAGCGGATCTGATACTCTGGCCAATTTCAACGTCCACAAGTGGATTTGACATTTTGCATTTATTTAAAGGAATGAACATATCCCAAACAAGCAATCACCCCTTGGCACTGAGGATGAGGTTGAAAGAAAGGTTTCCTGACCTTTTCCCCTTAACAATACTTTGACCCCTTTTGCATGTTTTTCGATATGCTCGCTTCCTCTCTGTAGCTCCCACTGAATCCCACGGTGTTTGCTGCAGTGTGGAAAGATGGATTGGGAAGGGGGCTGTTAAAAAGTACTTGTGCACTCTGAAATTTTTAAATTAGACTTCTTGTGAGATAAAAATCAGGATCCCCCCTGTCCTGTTCCTCTTCCCCTCCAGATAATCTATTATTTAACTTAACCCTCTGCAGACTTCCCTGTCCCTTTCCCCATAAAGGCACAAAGATAGTTGGCTCTAACAATCATTATATATATATATACAGTGCTTTTTTTCTAAAAAAAAAAAAAGTGCTGGAACTCATAAAACCACCTTGCCTACGCTGCAAGGTTCCATCCAAAAAAGGTGCCGGAACTCTGTTCTGGGCGTTCTATGAGAAAAAAAGCCCTGTATATATATATATATATATATATATATATATATATATATATATATATATATATATATATATATATATATATATAAATGTTGGAATCATGTTTGCTTCCTATTTTGCAAAGGGTTTTTTCCTCTCTCCCCCCCTTTTTTTGTTCTTTTTCTTTATATATAGACACATCGTTCCTTATATAATGAGACTTCCCCCCCTTAAAAGCAACAACAATGAAAAATATATCAATTTTGTTAATATAACTGTTCCATAAATTCTCTCTCTTTTTTCGATCTGTCTCTCTGCTCCCCGATTGCTTTCTTGAAACAGTGGATCATGCCGTCATCTTTCCATTGGTCCTTGATCGGGACCGTGAACTTCTCTTGTGTAGTCTACGTTTATAGGTGGAGGCTGTGGGAGGAGAGAGAAAAGAAAGGAGACCTTGTTACTCAAGAGTGATGGCTACAAAGGCCCGGCTTGTCCTGAGCTGGATTGAGTGAGTTTTTCCTTCCCCGCTGGCTCGCGCTCTCTCCCTGTGGAAAAACACACCACGGAGGCTGCAGCATGTTGTTTCTCTGGCTGCCTGTGGCAAGGGTGAGACGGTGCCAGATTTCAGCCTCTTGCACAATTGTGCTTTTTCTTGCTTTTGCACACACACACTCCCAGTTGATGTATTAGTTGGGTGGGGATTTCTTGATGCATTGGGGAGGGGGGCAGGTCCTGTCCTGCCTTCCCTCTGTCCCTCTACTCCTCCTTCCCACAAACAGACCCAGATGGCAAGGGGAGCTGTGCCTAAATGAAAGCCTTGTTAGCATTAAGGGTTAGGAAAGTTTAATCTTCTTGACTAGGTGGTTTGAAATGAAACAGGAGCTCACCCCCACCTTTTTTTCACGATGAAGGTAGAAAATGGTCCAGGATTTTCTTGGAAAATGGTCCAAGACTTTCTTAAGGTATGCCTAGCCCAGGGGTCTGCAACCTTGACAACTTTGCTGGCTGAGGAATTGTGGGAGCTGAAGTCCACAAGTCTTAAAGTTGCCAAGGTTGCAGACCCCTGGGCTAGCCTACCAAAAAGAAGGATTAGGGTGACATGATAACTGTCTTCCAGGACTTGTGAAGAAAGAGGGGATTGGCTTATTCTCCACAGTACTGGAGGGCAGGACAAGAAGTAACAAGTGGAAGCTTGTTAAAGAGAGATCTAATTAGCATAGACTAGAGCTGGAAGGGACCTTGGCAGTCTTCTAGTCCAGCCCCCTGCTCGAACAGGGGAACCTGTACCATCTCAGACAAGTGACTGTCTAGCCTCTTCTTAAAAACCTCCAGTGATGGAGCGCCCACGATTTCCAAAGGCAAGATGTTCCAACCTAGAAGTAAGGAGACATTTTCTGACAGAACAATCAATCAATCCATCGAAAGCTTGCCTCCTGGAGTTGTGGATGTGCCATCATCAGACTGGGATGGTACAAGGTCCCCTGGACCTCCAAGGTCCCCTCAGCCTTATGGCTCTACATTGGATGAAGAAAGATATGCTACCATTTCTAAGAAAAGAGCCAGCTCAGATGAACTATACAGATACACACAGATTAGGCAGTTCTCTGGTGTAGCTCAGACTTGCCAGCTGGATTAGAATACTGTTCGATTAGAAAGCCAGTTTGGTGTAGTGGTTAAGGCATCAGGGTAGAGACCGGGAGTCTGTGAATGGGTCCCGCTATAGACGCAAAGCTAGCTGGGTGACCTTGGGCCAGTCCTTCTCTCTCAGGTTTAGGAAAGAGGAGGTAATAGCAAAGCACTCCCACAAATCTTGCCCAGAATCCTGCAGGGATTTGTTCAGACATATTATCTGGAGTCAACAATCATTCAAAGGTGCATATGCATTCTCACGCACGCCTTCAACAGCAATCTTATGTTGACCCCAGAGTGCGCAACGTTTGAAGAAAGGAAAAAAAAAACTACATGAATTGGGCAGGAAAAGGACCACGTCCTGCAACTTAGGACTGTTTTTCTTCTTGGCCTCTTGGTTGGTCCAAAACAAATCCATGCATGAAAAGATCAGGCTTTTATCTTGTGGAATAGGAAACCTCCTGTCTTCTCCCTGTTCTTCGCCATGTTGTATGTATTAGCAAACTAATGTTTGCTTCAGTTTGGAGTCTATTCCCTACATCTATCTTTTCGGAGGTTGTGCAGGATGTGCTTACATGACCATTCCAGGAAATGTTGAGGGTACGGAGGGAGAACAGAGAGCTGGCCCTGGAACTTCCCATTCTTCTACCGCTGACCAGTTGGCTGGGCTGAAAGGTTGAATTCCAAACCCCTGGAGGCCAGTACTTTTGCCCCTCTTTAATTTATACTCATCCTGTCTTACGAGTTCCCCTACTTCCTCCTCTGTCCTCGTACAGTTCCGAGAAACCCAAGATTTATAGAAATTTGCTGAGGAACACATGTTGTCCAAGAAGACCTTGCCAACTATCGGCATTCCTTTCATTAATTAAAAGACTCAGTGCTCCATTACCAGCCAGTCCTTGCAGTCCAGCTTTTCTAGGGGATGTTTGAGCTCGTAATCTCTGAAATTCTAAAGCTACTGTCAAGACCGAGAGGTCCAAAGGAGCAGCTTGAATGTTAGAATGAATCAGCTGATCTCTGCTCACAAGGAAAGGAAAGCTAGAGCAGAAACACAGGACACCAGGGACACTTCTGCAGCAGTGCAGGCATTGTCTTAATTGAAAGCAGGTTTAAATCTCATTTGTGGAAAGTCTTTCAGGGATTTCCCTCCTAATTAAAAGAACATTACAGATGAGTAGGTGGTTCATAGAAAAACTGTGAACAGGATAGGGAGAAGCAGCTCTAATTTTATCAAGAGAAAAGACAATATCTCTTCTTCTACTTTATTTTTTCCCCTCCTAGTTGTCTACTTCACTTAGTCACCCCAGGCAAATTCTACCCAAACCTTACCCCCTCTCCTCCCCCCCCCCCGTAAAATCCAGAAATACTTAATATAGTTTTTGCATACCAGCTACGTAGTCAGAACTAACCAGTTTGGTTTACAAACCATGGGAATGCAAACCCAGACAATTAAAGGCACCAATATAACATCATGTATATATTATTGTAAGTGCCTGTTTGAGCTGGGGAAAGGGCTGTGGGTACAAATGCTGAAATATTCAACAGAAAACCTTACGTACGGTCTATGCAGGCTATCCGAGGCTCTTCCCATTGCCCATTTGATTGGCATCGGATGATGGGCACATGCCGCTGTATGTAACCCTGATTGCACTGGTAGCGCACCAGAGCATTGATCTCATAGCGGTCTTTCTTTTTGCCAAAGTGCCTAGCATTCTCAACTGCGGGAGGGTCTCCACAGGAAACTGGGGGGGAGAAAAGGACATTTTTTTCAAATTGCTTCCTGCTCAAAGCAGCATTCAGCCAACAGGATGCTCCTAGCTGCTACCGTAGTTATAATTTCTGATCAGCAGAAGGCACCAGAACATCTAAACACAGTCAAGGGCTTGAAAACATTGAGTATCAATATGACCTTGTGTCTGGACTCTAGACCATCCTTAGTTTCCTAGAACTTCTGAATTTTACTTCGACTGGATAACACCCAGCTGCTTAATTCTGAGATAGGTTAATTTTTCATGTTTATGTTTCAACTTCTGGACTTGTTTTTGGATTATAGTTTGGCCCACCGATCTTACCACAAGAGCATTGTGCTGGTTTTTGATCTAATTTTGCTACCTGAAGATAAACAGGACAATATTTAGCAGTATACCAAAATATCAGGGCAACTTTGAAGTGATAGTGGGAATTGAGTCAGTGGTAAGAGCAATGTAACTTTGTTATAGGAGACATTAAGAAGCTCATTAGATATTACAAATAATATGTGAATGACATCAGGAATGGCTTGTGAGAGATTTGGGGAAACACTTGCCTGAGGACTAGTAGTACTGCAGCAAGTACTTAGGCTTAAATCCCCCATAGTGTCATAGTCCAAAGTGGCATGGAAGCATTGTAGTAAAGACTTTATGATCTCCATGAGACATCTATTATGACCTTCTCAAGCTGTCATCCCAGAAAGAAGAACAAAGGTCACGCAAGGCACTAAACAGGCTTAAAGAGGTGCAGAGGATTGTACCTGAACCATGCATACACCCAGGAGAAGTCCAAATGAAGACATGTCACCTGGAAAAGCCTCATGAATGTAGCAGTTTCCTTAGAGCGAATCACTGCTTCCAAGAAGCCTGTTTTCGACCACTGGTTATGATTAGCATGTGTTGCACTTGGAACAGGGCCAATAGCTTTCAATATTTCATTTTTCAGCTGGTGGGACAGCCTGTCCTTGGATCTGACATGTCTTTCCTCAAGTCTTGCCTCACTGCCCGGCCACCCTTAATCATTGCTGAGTCCCGACAGTGGTTTACTACTCTACTCTCTAGATCTTGACGGCCGAGATGTAAGCCTTTTGCAGTCATGATCTTGGACTGCTTGATTGGTCTGTGAGTGCTTTTGAGCAGGGCACTGAGCCTCACCTGTTCCTTTTTTGCAAGTGAAGGGCAGGTGGTAATTGCAAGGGACATCATTCCATTCACCCTTCTCATGCCAGATCGTTACTACACAGTCTTCGTCTTTGGCAAAAAAGTTATCGGGTTGGTTAGGTCGCCAGTTCTCATATTGCTAAAGAAAGAGAGAAAGAGATCTGGGGTAAAACAGAGAGTCGGATGAAGTGGGGGGCAAAGGGAGGAGGGACAAAGTCATCAGATCTTTCACAGTTTTCCATATTTTTAAAGTGAGAAGCAGTTGCAGCTTTCCTATAAAGAGGTCTTGCTCTATAATGCTGGAATTTGAGGCTCATCACCTGCTTCCTAGATAAGATTGTACTTTTCCCATCAAACCTTCATTTTCTGTTATGAATCACAAGCCCCTTTGAGCAAGGGAGGGATTTTAATTAAGGAAAACACATCATCCATCCTGTCTTGGAGACGCCCAACCTGTTTTTGGATGATGGACTATCCTGGCTTCTGAGGGCTACATTCTAAAGGGGGCATTTCTAAGATTAAGGATGGAGCCAAGACCAATATGGATTTAATTGGGTCGCCCTCTCAGTATTAGTCAAAATGGAAAGACACCACGAGTAAGATTACTCCCTGTATATTTAATTATTCCACTCCTGTAACATTAAAAATGATTATTTGATGGGTTCTGGAAATTCTCTCTAAGACTTTGGGTTGCTCTAGGAACATCTGGGGACTTGGGTAATATACTTGTAGAGTAAGAAGGATGATTTGTGTCCATGCTACAAACATAATTGCTTTCCATACTTCCTCCTGTACGTGTAGCACTGCCCAAGTACTTGTCCTGTAGGATTCTTGGATCTTGGAAGCACTGATTTCCCAACAGTCCAGAAATATCTCTATATTTGATATCGTCCAGAATCTAACTTACAAGAGAATGTCCATCAGACCAGCGAAAGTCATCTTCCACTGCTCGGTCACTTAATCCAATCCACTGGTAGTTCTGTGCATTGTCTAGATAACATGCAGAGACAGAGAAATTAACAATGAATGCTGGTTTATTTGGAAGCAGAGGATGACTCTCTGAACTTTGAGCCTAAGAGCAAGATTCAAACTAAACTATGGAGCACTTCAAATTCAATGCAAAAAAGTCCTTTGGAACAGCCAAAGTGCCAACAGTTCTTTAAAGCAGCTGCATCTTTTCCCAGCACTGCACATTTGTGTTGCACCAGGATCCCTGGAAGAGACACAGTTTAAGGATTTACCAAGAGATGCTGCAGCATGTGAAGCATTTTCTTGCTTTTGAATCCAAAGCACTGCACAGCTCCAGCTTAAGTAATGATCACATTAAATGAGGAACAGTTTTTTTATTTCATTCAGTAAGTAATAATGAGGTATTTGGTCTGGTTTAATTTTAGAAAATACAGCGGACTGGAGTGATTCGGTCTTCATGTACCCTTAAAAATTCTTCCATGCCCTGGAAAGTGATTAATGATAACCTGTTGCTATCAGCAGCGATGGGAGTGCCTTTATTATTCACACACAAGGGGCAATTATCTTTTTTGGTGGGGAGAAGAGTCAAACTGAATGTTTATTACCAGGATACACAATTGGATCCTACTTTCAGGACCTATTTATTTTTCAAAACAAAAAACAAAAAGAAGCAAGGTGGAATAATTTTGGAAGAGGTCAGGGACTCCTTCAGGCTCAAACCATCCCTTCCTGGAGACACGCGTTGAGGGTTTTTTTGGCAGCCATCAAGAAACAGTTGGCCATTTCCTTTCTTCTAGCCTAAACATGGGTTGGTTTGATTTTTCTTCTGACCAGATCTGACCTTACTTTTCTTGTCTGCCAACTACTGCAGAAAAAAAACTCCAGTCATTTCAGAAACTCACAAGCTTAAAATGGCTGCCCCCTCAGGAAAACCTCCCTCAAGGACTACGGAGAGATAACAAATGGGGATAATTGTGTATTATTGTCTGAGGTAAATGGGACCAAATAAGATTTCTTTCTTAAAATAATGACTTCCTTCTCTTCTTATGTCTAAAGAACAATGACTTGCCCAGTGATAAAACTGTGGTATACCAATTATGGCTGACTTCAGTCATTACTCATTTTCTTTTCTTTCTTTTTTTTGGGGTAAAATTTTTATTAATTTTTCCCATACCATTCAGTAGTGCTTATTCAACAACGTGTTGTCTGAGTTTATCATTCCTTAATGCAAATTTAATTCCTAATCCTTTATTTTTTTTCTCCAGCCATTGATAAAACAAGTCCTAAAACAAGTCTTCTTTCAACCTCATAGTGAGTCTGTCCATTTCCACACATTCTAATTTTTTTAAATTATTTCTTCCTCTAATGGTGTTTCTTCTTTTTTCCAATATTGTGCAAATATGATTGTTGCCGCATTTTTTTAAAAAATAATTTCATATTTATTTTTTTTATCGGTATTAAAATGTTGCCATGGATCCATGTAAAAGATTGATTTTCTCCTTCCCTCAGCAGAATCAAAGATGGTCAATGCTGGTTTGTTCAAACCGGATTTTCATTTTACACTTCAGCACTGGCAAGAATTTGAACAGACGAGTAATGAGCACCATAGATTGGGAACAGCGACCAAATGATTCAGTATCACATGGATACCAAGCTGACTTTTATGGGATGGGTGGGTGCTGAACATTCAGATAGAAGCTTCTAGATGTTCTTGTGAGCTGTAAACCATGGGTCCACACGAGCCTTCAGTTTAGAAATGCAGCTAGTCAATTGGAATATGAATTGATCTGAAGCCTCAAATTGGACACCTTTGAATTGATTTGGATGTTAATCAGCAATCCGGGGGTCTTTTGCATCTGGGGAGAAGTACTTGTTCCAAATTATTTCAGAAGCCTGAATTAGATCAAGTCAGGTCTTTGAATCCATTTGAAAATCTAAATTACATTGTGAGTGATTGACAGACCCCTAGTACACCATTACATCCATATCAAATAGTTTTCTAAAATGGTCCATTTTTCATTTTCAAGAAATGAAAGGCCTCTTTAACTGATATGTTTTTTTTATAGGAAAAAAACAGACATTCTCCTACGGTATCAGTCACGGACTGTAGCCCAAAGGTGTATTAAAGCATCTAATAACCAGGACCATTTTATTAAAAAATAAATAAACTGCAAGGTCAAATGCAGAGATTCTTACCTTTTCTGCCATATTTCATTATGTTTTTACTAGCTATTTTCGTTTTTTTGCGATTGCATCTATTTTTGGGAACCTTTTTTTTGTTATACTTTACCTAGAAATTATTGATTACTCTAAACCTAATCTACTTGTTAATTGTGAATTTTTCCTTTTTAACTAGACATATATGGCTTATGTATTCCCTTTATATTAGAGATTTCATAGCCTCCCATCTTATTATCAAGTTTGTATGACATTCTTTTTTTAAAACAATTTAGAAAAACAAGCTCTAAAATGCACGTTTTGCTGTTTGATCGGTGTTAATGTAGAATGAACAGATCCAAATATTATGGCTATTTTAGAGATTTGTCAAAGGCAGTTTTTAGTTTTAAAGCAAAAATATATGAATTCAATAATCAACATTCAAACAGAGGGAAAAAGGCAGGGTAAAAATTGATGGAATGAATGCAGATTTGTTGTTAATAATGAATTTATGATTTCCCCCCCCCCCGGAAGATGTACATGCTTCAATTTTCCATGTCAAATAAAATTAATAACTTATATAATTTCAAGTTGCTTGGATATTCAAAGAACATTCAATACTCAGATTTAGAAAAATCCCAAACACCTCACTCCAGAAAAGTAGCAGAGACTGGCAGCAATTTACAAATCATAGTTTGAGAACCTATAACCCAGTCTAGCTTGTCCCACAATCGCTACTGAATATCACTGGAATGGTAGTATATTTAACACATTTACAGTGCACCCAATTATTTACTGAAATTCTTTGGGTGGAGTAGAACATGAATAAAATATTAAATTTCTACTTGAAACAGAACATGAAAATATGGAATATGATACAACTGAAAAGATTAGCAAAATGGAAATAAAGGGATAAATCAAGAAAAGGATTTGGACCAGAAGCAGTTGCAAGAGGGAATCCTGGACAATGCCTCCTTGTTGGATTCACAAAGAAGCTTGATAAAACATCTGAAAAATGTTTTGGAATATCAAAGAATGCTGAAAGTCCTTCAACACAACTGGACCAAATCAAAGGCTGAGATTGTGAAGCATAAAAGAAGGAATATAAAGTTGGATCAAGGCTAAATCATTTGACATTTCTATGGATTCTAATGGTATTTTGAAGGTTGATAGATTAACCTGTGGTTCTGTCAACTGAAACATTGCCAACTTTGGATTTAACACATCTTTTGTGCACTACAGCTCATGATCATAATACATAGTAGCACCCTAGGTGCAGTCTATTAAAATATACCAATTAAAGCTGAGCCATGAAAAGTCAAGCTACCCAAGGCAACCCAATTCTCCTAAATGAAATTCAGAATACGTCTTGCATTCTGTATCAGTGTTGTAAATCCATTGGTTTGGGGGGGGTATTTTAATTTTTTTTAAAAAATGTCAAGTTGCCATACTTACTGTTCACAAATTCTTGCTCTTCAGGTGTGATGATACTGCTCAGGTGGGATTGCTGTTTTCGGCACAGTTTCTCTGCCTCCATCCAGGTGAGTTTCTCTTCAAAATGCTTGTAGCAGTTACCTTGAAATTTGGTCCAGCCTGTTTCACATTCTGCCAGATCTAGACATGGATACAGGAAGACCACATGAACAAGAATCAGAGCATAGAGGGACATTTAACTCTTCCAAATCTCTTTGTAGAACATTTGCTGGTACTTGATATAGAAGTTGGGTAAAACTTACCTGTTTCTTCAAAAACAATTATTGATTATTATTTTTTTACTTTAAGGTAAAGGGTACTGCAGATTGACAGAGTTTATTAGAACTGCCAAAATGGATGAGAAAAGTGTTTTACAGTCATCTAAAATTTAGAGCTTCTATCTACATTGTAAGGAAACATTCAGATTATGAATAAGTAAAAAACATCATGCAGGATATTCTTTAGTTGTGTACAACTTCATACATGTTATGGAGAAATACAGTTTGCTTAAGAGGGAATATGAAATTTGAAAGATCATTTCCACATGCTTGCAGATTTCATTGTTGAGCCCTCCTGTGTATTTCCTCACACAAAAAGGGCACCTAAAGTTTTTATACTGCATATGTATGTATTTTATCAATTTATGTGACTGCCCAACTTGCAAACGTTGACTGTGGGATCTATGATTGTCTATAACAGATAAACATAACAAAGTAATAAAAACATAAAACGAACAGTAAGAACATAGTAAGAAACAGCTTGCCTTCAGAAATTATGAGTGCTCTATCACTGGAGGTTTTTAAGAAGACATTGGACAACCAGTTGTATAAAATGCTTGAGCAGAGGGTTGGACTAGAAGATCTCCAAGGTCCCTTCCAACTGTTGTATTGATATTGTTACTGCTACTGTCCCTTCCAATTCTGTTATTCTGTTATATGTATCTAAGGTCATTCTCTTAAACCATGAAAATGGGCTGATCTAATATCGTAGCCCAATGCCAGGAAAGACCCAGATTTTTAAGTTCTTATGGAGGCCATCAAGGTCAGCTCCATCTGAATATCAGCAGGCATGCTATGCCATAGGGCAGAGAAGACCTGCCATCTGATGGCAATGTTTCATTGAGGGACCTGGATTATGCCTACTGCCTAACATATACTATTTCATACTTATGTACTTTGTGTTGCATAGAGATATACAGCATTCCTGTCATTTTTAATAAATAAGCCTAATTTTGTTCTGAAATGATAAATAGAGAGATCTCAATGTATTTGATTTTTGTCTCCAAACATTTCATTAGTCACAGATGAGTCTATATTTTCTATGAGGGAGACAAATGAACAGGAACATTTTGTGAGGAGAAATGAAAGGTGAACACAGCCATAAAAGTAGAACAGAATAAGCATATCTTTTCACTTTCCTTATCTTCTACTTCTAAAAATAAGTGCCCTTTTTTTAGTAGACCAACTGAAGGACCTTATATATAAGTCTTACACGTGACACACAGGGAGGTATTTTTTTGACTCTGCCTCTTTACAACTTTTCCCCATATTGAGGCGTGAGGTAATTTTGCCCTTCCAAATTCACCATGGTGCGAATAAAAGCTTGAATACAAGTAGTCCTTGACTTACAACAATTTGTTTATTGACCGAAGTTAAAAAAAAGTGAAAAAAAAAAGACTTATGATCTCTTTTCCACACTTAAAACCATTGCGGCCTCACGTGGTCACGTGATCAAAATTCAGATGCTTGGCAGCTGATACATATTTATGACGGTCGCAGTGTCCCAGGGTCATGTGATCCCTTTTTTGTGATCTTCTGACAAGCAGAGTCAATGGGGAAGCCAAATTCACTTAACAACCCTGTTACTAACTGAACAACTGCAGTTATTCACATAACAATTGTTAAGAAAGGTTGTAAAATGGAGCAAAGCTCCCTTAACAATGGTCTCCCTTAGCAATAGAAAGTTTGGGCTCCACTGTGATCTTAAGTCAAGAACTACCTGTAATTCACCTTTTCTTTTTCCGTAGGAAGGCTTCCAAAAGCTGTTAGCCAAACACGCACTGAAGCATCCATACATTGTTGTGGCTTGCATTTGAATACAAACCAGTCTATTTTGAAAGGCAAAGTGGAATGCAATTATCCTTCGGTTTTCTCTCCCAACTTTCAGACTCCACCATACAGCTTTGATCAAGGAATGCATAAGGAAATAGATGCTTTAAGAATGAAGGGTACCAAAAGAAGAAGCACTTGAATAAAATGCTTTTTTTTCCCCCAGGGAAAATTGCCTATAACAAAGGATATGATTTTTTCAAGTGGCAGTTGTAATTGAGGTTGAGGGAGACTAGCATATAGATTTAGCTAAAAGGTTTTCTTTGCTTACAAAAATTGATAACGCAAACAACCAGGTATCTTAGAGCTTGAGAGAGAGAGAGAGAGAGAGAGAGAGAGAGAGAGAGAGAGAGAGAGAGAGAGAGAGAGAGACACAGAGAGAGAGAGATACACACAACACTAGAATGGGGGCTGCTTTTGGATAAGAGTGTGTGATAACAAACATCTCCCTTGCTCTCTGCCAGGTTCCCTATCCTATTGGCCTTCAACCTTTTTAAACAAACCTTTGAACTAAATAAAAAACGGGAAGATCAACAGCTTTTATTTCCAGCAGTGGTTATTTGCATTCTGGCCACATAGACATCTTTAGAAAACAAATATGGTATTCCATTGTTATGTTTGAAAGTGTGTGCCTCTCTGTCCATCAAAATGGACCCAGGTATGTTGGGAACATCCTATATATCATGACTGACCAGCCTTGGCAACTTTAAGATCGGTGGATTTCAACTCCCAGAATTCCTCAGCCTGTTTCCCTTTTGACTTTGCTAGGTCAGCGATGGCAATCACATGACTGAATCACAATCAGCAAGGATGCTGAGATGACTGCACCTTTGAGGACCATTTGCCAATGTTCTTCGTTGCCCCTTCAACATTGAAAAGTCAGTGTTGGTAAGTGAACACCCCCACCATCCAATGGTAAAGATTGTCCTAAGTTAAGCTGTATTCCTCGTGATTTTACAAAAACATCCCTGTTATTTATTTACTGGCAATAATGTAGAAATGGTTTGCCTTCTTGTGTGATGATTTTGGAGCAGGTTTGGGACTCTGTCCATCTGCAGCAGGATAACTTGGAAAACAGGATGCGTTATTGGGGAAAGAAGCTGGCAAAAGAAAGATCAAAGTTAGAAATAAGCGGAATGAGGCTGAGGACTGTGGAGAAAAAAGAACAATTCTCAAATTCCCCCATCCTAAGTCCCAGCCATTCTAGCCAGATGATTCAAAGCAGATGGGATAGTAGCCATAGAAACCCAAACGTATGTCTGTGCCCCTATTGGACCTATGGCATACAAACAGAAGCAACATATATACATCCATCTGATTAGAATTTTCTTTTACACACACACACACATACACACACACACACACACAAACAAACACGGTGCAATGCATGTTCCAATTAGTCCATGGAGAGAAAGAGCATACAAACACGAGATGCTCATTCATTACAAAGAAGAAAATGCAGATCTTCTTTATGGCCTTTACTAGAGAGGTGTTTCCTTTCTATGAGCTTAGAAAAACTCTCCACATTTCCTGATGGCTTCCCACGGTGGTCCTAACCAGGCCTGATTGTGTTTCACTTCCAAGCCTGCATGTGTTCGATTGAAGCCAATGATAGATCATGATAAGAGCCCTGGGGGAGTGCAGTAGTTAGAATGCAGTATTGCAGGCTAACTCTGCCCACAGCCAGGAGTTTGATCCTGAAGGTTGACTCAGATTTCCATCCTTCCAGGTTGGTAAAATGAGGACCCAGATTGTTGGGGGGCAATAGGCTGACATTGTATACTGCTTAGAGGGAGCTGTAAAGCACTATGGGGCAGTATGTAAGTCTGCTATTACTGTAAGAGAAAATAGGTTAATTGGAGTTAGTTGTGATGAAATGAGAAAAGGCTGCAATACAATAGTACTGTATATGTTTTAGGTTGCTTTTTTCTCAAAATATAGTTAGTAGGGTTAGCTGAAGCTGAGTAAGGTAGGCAGGCCATACCAACGTCACAACGGTTCCCTCCGTAGCTGGGAAGGCATAAGCATGTGAAAGCGTGGCTGCCATCGACACAAGTAGCTCCATTCAGACAGGGACTGGAGTGGCACTCATCAATGTCTGGAAGAAATCAAGGGCTGCCGTTAGGACTTTGGCTGGGCAGAAAGTCCACAACAGGAGACTTGGTTTTCTTGATTTAACCAGAATATAGAAGAAGGCAGTGAACTAAAGGATTTGCAGAGGCAATGAGACACATTTGGAGATTGGGGCGAAGTGAAACTGCAGCTAGGTAAGTGGAAGAAAATGAGAGGGAAATGGAAAGAAAGAATTTCCCAACCTTTAAAAAAAAAAAAGCTTGGCAACGACCTGGCTACCATAATGTTTCAATGACCACCAGAACGACAGTCAAGCCCAGATGGAATTCAATCACTCTAATTTATGGGAAGAGTGGGATATCCTTAATTAGTAAAAGTAACAAAAATATGGATAATGACCACTTTCTTATGCTTGGTCCATTGAGGGATCTAATTTTCTTAGAGCTCATCTTATGCACTAGAGACAAATACCTTGTATATCCAATCACACTTGGCCAATAAAGAATATTCCAACATTCTAATATTCTAATTAATATTCTAATAGTCTAATAATCCAATAGTTTAATGTTTTGTTCTGTTCTGTTCCATTCCATTCTATTCCATTTTCTATTATTCTAGTCTGTTCTGTTCCATTCTCTATTCTAAATGAATTTAACCCAAATACAGATAAATTATCTTCTGCTCATGCAGCATAAGGACCAACAACTGAAATTTCCCAGCATAGTTCCCTGAAAAGACTCAACTGTTACCTTTGGACAGGAAAGCTGGACTGAATGAATGGTCATTGACCATCCTGAGAGATAGCTAAATTTGTCTTTTAGGCCAAGAATGTTGTACAAGTAAACCAGAATTGCCTTCAAAATGTCAAGTTAGATTGTGGTAAGATCAGTGTTTCGTGAGTCTGAAGGCTTGAGTCCATTAGAAGTGTACTTTTCTGTTGCGTTTTGGATTGATGAAAAAGACAGTAAAAGTTGCCTGATGATATTTTCTTAGTTCAAGAAAACAAAACCAACATGCCTGAAAACAATTTTAATTGTAAGAAGAAAATATTCAAGGCTATCAAATGGAGTTGGCTCTCATTTATCTTTGTTAATGAAACTGTACTTTTATCCTTGAAAGATTTGTCCTTCAGTTTCTGAGGGAGTGAAAAGCTTTAGAAATGTTGATCCTGAAATACTGATAATCTAGAAATTATCCCCGCAATAGGGTTAAATAGTGTTTGCTGCAAACGTACAAAGATGGTGACCTAGATAAGGAAAATGTTTTGCAGAAAAGAAAAAAAAACATATATATCTATATATTTATATTCATTAATTCTGGCAAGGCACAAGGTAGGGACCATGTTTACACTATGGAAAGTCTAGGAGAGGATATAATCAGGACCAGAAATTCTATAAAAACTTTGTTGCTGCATTGACAGAAGTCATTCCTTGTAATGATCTGTCCAGGGTGCTGAAAATACTTTCCATGATTGGATATTCTTGACCACGATTCTGGCCTATGTTGACATTCTTATTCTGGTATCTAATGTTGAATTTCGAATGCAGTACAAGATCTTTCTTTCTTTATCAGCTGGCTGTACTATTTCCCTTCTATAAATTCTGCTTCCCTGAGACATAATAATAATCACCAGAGGCTACAATTTTGTTTCCTGGGAAAATCATCACCAAACACAGATGTTTCTGGGGCTAGAAAATCATAAAATGGGGCAAAACTCACTTAACAAACATATCACTTAACAGAATCCCATCCTAGATTTGCCAGATCTCAAAGTTAGACCTGAAATTTTATTCCTCCTACCAACCTGTTATCCTTAATTTGTTGTGTTAGTTGCCTGCTACCTCTAGATCAACCTTTTACTCTTTGTACTAGGTCAGCACATTCTTGTCGCCATGTTTCTGTTTCCACTTTCTTCTCCTCAATTCTCTATTCTCCCCAATCCCTCTATTCTTACTATTCTGCTTTCCTCTTATGCTATAACAACACGAGTGTGGAGGAGTGAAGATGAAGGTTGAAAGTATAGCAGCTGGGGGAAAAGTTAACCCTGTTCTCCAAACTGCCACCTCATTTTCAAATTCCTACTATTGACAAGAGCTTTACAATGATTCAGTAAGAAAGACAGAGCCAACATTCTGGAAATGTACTTCTGTTCCTATTTACCTTTTCTGACAGTGCTTTTCATTGGGAGATGTTCTAGAAGATGTAATGGATTTGAGATCAGATCAATAGCTGGAATTGAAACATGCATTCTGACAGCTAACCTGTCATGATCAATGTTTTTAGCCACTTTGCATCCCAGTGGTTAACAATGATAAGAAGAAAAGAATAAATATTAATTTATAGGCCCATGCCCAAAACATGCAATTCCCCCCATCTCCCAGACGTACTGTAAGGTCACTGAAGTAGAATAAAATAAAATATAACAAAAGTCAGAAATCAGCAGCAGCAGGATCTTGAATTTACCCACTGCAGGATAAAGGTTTCTTTATTAAAGGTCAAGGACTGTAACCTACCATGTTAATCCAGTGTGCGTTAAGTAAACATGTTTTTGAACTACCTAGTAGTGACTGCAATTGAGTGAACCTTTGTTTCATGATTGAAAATTCAAGTGAAGAAATCAGCAAGTAGATAACTTGAATTAAAAACAGGCAGCCTTGTGGGTAAGGCGTGGGTTATGAGCTCAGCACACCAAGCACAACAGAGAGGGCAATGAATGCAGAGTTGGAAAAGAAGCAGAAATGTTTTGCGTGAGGGATGTTAGACTGAGGGCAAGACACTGATGTGAATGTGCTTCTATACGGTTAGTCCCAACTCTGACACAAAACCCTAAAATGGACGGAAAATACATAGAACAAAACAGCCATTATCTTATTGGGATTCCATTATATCCTTTTTAAATATATGTCTTCCTCCTCTTTCCCCATGGCTAATAAATTGCAAAAAGAAAAAACAACAACAACGGAAGCTGAAGTAATCAAAGCAACAGCCAGTTTTCCCACACTGCTATTGTGTAATGAAACCGAGCAGCAGAAGAGATAGAATGTGGGGGAAAAAAATCACTTTACTAGGATCGAAAATTGCTCAAAGCAGTGAATGCAGCCCAGGAATGAAATGTTGGATTGCACTAGGCTGCAAGGCAATGATAAACATGGGTGAATATGGAAAAATCAAGGACATAAGCCTGCAAGCAAAAATAGGTTAGTTCGCTCTATTGTGTTCCCTGTAGCAACCGATGATTGTGAAAGCTGGATCTTAAAAAAAAAAAAAAAAACAAGATGGGAAGGAAGTGGACTTGTTTGAGCCATGGTGCTGGGGGAAGTTCCTGTGTATTCCTTGGACAGCATAGGTGACTAACAAGCAACTACTGGAGCTCATAATACCAGACGTGTCACTGGAAGGCAACATCGCAAAACTGCATCTCACTTATTTTGGTCACGTCATGTGGGGGAATTCACTAGAGAAAGCAATGAGGTTTGGAAGAGTTAGTAGGAAAAGAAAGTTAGGATTGCTGGACACCATCAAAGCTGGACACAGCCAGGGTATAGAGCAGGGGTCTTCAAACTTGGCTCTTTTATGACTTGTGGACTTCAAGTCCCAGAATTCCTCAGCCAGCGTGCCTGGCTGAGGAATTCTGGGACTTGAAGTCCACAAGTCATAAAAGGGCCAAGTTTGAAGACTCCCGGCATAGATAAAGTCCAAGAAGTGGTACAAGTTTGGAAGACATGGAGAGACCTGGTTCATAGAATCACCAAGAGCCAGACATAACTGAGTGGATTACATCCTCAAGAAGAAATCCAGTCTCACCTATCTCACAGTAATCACCCATAAATCCAGGTGGGCATAAACAGGTGATGTTTCCTTCTTGTTCGTGGCAGGTCCCAGTTCCACATAGCTTCTCCTCACAACTCTTAGGTGTAGCTGCAACCAAAAATATTTTTTTCTTCAATTATTCTTCAGAATCATCAAGCTGAAAGTTAGTTTTAAAGACAAGCACCTTTTCTATTGCAGTATAGACAGACTTTCTTGCCCCCAAATAAGGGCTCAGTTCCAGTGTTGATTAAATAAAACCACTTTTATTTTATTTGCATCTTAGCACACTCCTGAAACAAACTTTCTTTCCCTAGTAAGACAACATTGTTTGTCCACACCTGTGAACTCTACTTCACTGACTCTTGTAGCCCCTGTGGACTTTAAGGTTTGTAAAAGTAAATTAAGGATTATATTTGGTCCAAAGCTTTGGGCAGAAAATGCTTTCAATGCTTATGACATTTGCACAGCTACCACATGTGAGATCATATGGGAATAATAATAATTCATGGTTTGGGGTGAGACAAATATACTTGTATAACCATGTGCTTTCATTGATCGATATGCAAGTCCTGAGAATACCATGTAGCAGGAGTCAAAGAACTCTGGATTTTTCATCAATATTTTAGAGAAAACTGAGCTTTTTATTTTCTAGATAGGTTAAAAACATTTTTAAAAACATCTGGTTTAAGGGACAGATATATAGTTATATTTTTTGCTCCCTCCTATTTGGAAAGTTATAGAATGTAGGAGTCTCCCTGACATTACAATGGTCTAACTTCTTTTATCTCCATGCTGTGGCAAAAGAGATGAGGTAATAACAAGATATCAAAACAGAGGTAACTTTTTAATAACTATTAGTACTCACCCACCCAATATTATAAAATCTATGGTAAATAACCATAGCAATAGTACTTAGACTTATATACCATTTCATAGTGCTTTACAGCCCTCTCTAAGCAGTTTACGGTCAGCATCTTGCCCCCCCCCCAACAATCTGGATCCTCATTTTACTGACAAGTCAACCTTGAGCCTGTCATGATTGAACTCCTGACAGGGGGCAGAATTAGCTTGCAATACTGCATTCTAACCACTGTGCCGCCAGGGCTCCTTAAGTAAAATACTATAAGCAAAATGTATAAAATCTTTGGGGAGATAACTACTGATTGAAGAATTGAATGCTGCTCAGAGATAGGCCTACTGCATTAATTTATGGGACCAAACCATAAGCTTAAAACAAATAACTTATTCTATATTTAATTTTAGCAGCCAAAATGATCATTGTGCCACTTTGAAAAACTCTAGATAATGTAACAATTGAATTCTGAATTAATAAGGCCTCTTCAATTACTACATTAGAAAAAAAAATCACAAAGTTGAATGAATGAGACACCAGAGGCAGGACCCATAATTTCATTCTATTTTGGATGGATTTTATGGTTTATCTCAATGGCAATAGACTATAATCTGGAATACTTCATATATACAGGACCTGGCAAGTTTTTAAATGTGCAGTACCAGTCTATTCTCATTGTAGTAAATCTCTTTGGCATTTTGTCTATTTTGGCATTTTCTCCCCCCCCCTTCCCTGGTATTATAAATTTATATTAATGCAGTTACCTGATGTTGTTTGTTAAAAATTGATAAAAATGTACTTTAAAACATTATTAAACAATACGAGAGAGGGACACATTTATCCAAATGAATGTTCACAATCTTTAGCTAATCAGCCAGTCAGATTAGCCTTCCTGAGATTCTACTTTTGAGAGTCACTATGTCATGGGAGAAATAAGGGAAAGATCAGCCAGTGTGAACATTTAAGGGAGTGTCTATTGGAAGTTCCATTGCATACATGTATTTCTGAATTTACCTTGTGTAATAAGCTGTATCCAATCAGTCCTCTCTGATGGGAGGAGATCGGTAGCTGTTGGTGATGGTAGTGGACTCCCTGGAGCAGCAACATCTCCTGTTTCCAACTCTGGTGTTGGATATGCACTGGCCTCTGTTTCAGCCTGAGTCTCTGCTGGATGCCTCGAGTGTTCAGTTAATTCAACATCTGGACTGCTGGTACTAAGTAAGACATCTGGCGAAAAGACTTTCTCTGGTGTATCTGACACTGTCCAAGGTGCTGGACCTGAACTATCTCCATTAAACTGATTCCTTTCATCAAAAGTCCCAGAGGGAAAGCCACTGGTGAATGGTACCCCAGATGTTTCTGAGTAGTTTTCAGATGATGAAGATGTTTCTCCACCTGGTTCATAATGGGTTGAAGTTTCTAGGTGGCTTCTTGTTGAGACTGATGTTTCATCACTTGTTTCATTAATAAAAGGGGTTCCTACACTAGTTTCATGAAATGTGGATGCCTTACTACTGATTTCAGGATATTCTGGGGAAGATATGGTACTTTCAGGATATGTAGAAATTTCTGCATCAATGGCTTCTCCACTGGATTCAGGAAAATGGAAATATGTTGCCTCTGTTCCTCCAATCACTTGCTGTAAAACTGTTGGGCTTGTCACTGTTTCTATGGAATCAGTTACTAAGACAATTTCTGAGATTCCAGAGACATCACCACTAGCACTGGCTGTGGTTGAAGATGCACCACTTATATCATCAGTTTCTCTACCAAAATATGGAATGCCTGAGGAGGTCTCGCTGAAGTCAACTTTCTCAGATGATACTCCACTAGATGTTGTCACATCATAAGATGCTCCTGATGTTTGTTCCTGTCCTGAAGGAAGCCCACTTATTTCTAATATCCCAGATGTCCCTTCTCCTAATTCTTGCGCAACAGAAGGCTGTGTTATTACTTCCACCAAAGTTGTATCCACAAGGGAAACTGTAGGAAACCCTGATGTGAGACCACTATAATCATATGTTCCGGATGAAATGCCACTGACAAGATCAACACCAGAGCTTTCTCCACTAATGTCTGTTTGTCCACTTGGAAGTCCACTGACTTCAGTAACTCCTGAAGCCCACCCACTGAAGTCTACTTGTCCAGAAGAAGGCTGGCCACTCACATCTAAAATTCCTGGTGTTGTGCCTGATAGATCTTCATCTCCTGAAGGTAATCCACTTATTTCTACAAATCCTTTCCCTTCTTCTTCTTTAGATGAAGGAGTTGTCACTTCAAACAATTTAACATCAATGAAGGTAACCCCTGAAGGTTCACCACTCCCATCAGTAGCTGAAGGTTGGCCACTTAAGTCCACATAGCCACTTAGATCAGGTGGCCCAACAGATGTTCCACTGACATCCATTCCTGAGGACAATCCACTGATGTCTAATAGGCCAGATGACTGTCCACTAACATCAAGTCCTGGTGGTAATTCACTGGTATCAGGTGTGCTAGATAGTTCTCCACTGCTATCAATTCCAGAAGAAAACCCACTGAGGTCACCGGTTCCATAGGCATCAACTCCAGAAGGCAATCCACTGGTTGTGCCACTCCTATCCCAATCGGCAGAGGGGAAGCCTGATACATCTCCATCTCCACTGACTCCAACTGTCCCTTTCCCTTCCATTTCCCTTTCTGTTGCTGTGGTCACAACTTCTGTCAAAGTGGCATTCACCAGAGACACGGTAGGAAATCCAGATGTGAGACCACTATAATCATACTCTCCAGATGGTGATCCATTGAGGTCAGGACCAGAATGGTCTCCACTAAATCCAGAAGGCAACCCACTAAATTCTGGGGGACTTTTGCCTTCCTGGTGCCCAGGTATTTCTTCTTGGGTTCCTGAACTAATCCCTGATAGTTCTTCTTCTCCAGAAGGTAAGGTGCTGACTTCAATAACGCCAGAAGACAAGCCACTTATGTCTCCTGAGGGTAGCCCACTCTCTGCAGAAGGCAGCCCACTCGTTTCAGGGACCCCAGAGGGAAATTCTCCAAATCCTGAAGGTTTTTCACTAGGCTCGACGGTTCCAGTTATCTCTGGAGCTCCAGAAGTCCAGCCAGAAGCAGATATTTCTGTGACTGGAGCTTCTGCACTTGTTCCCTCAGGTATTGCATCAATGGGAAGAACAGTTGATGGACCCGCAACTGGTGGACTCACTTGCATGAAAGAGAAATAAAGAGCAGAGATGCAAGGGTGAATTCTCAAGCAATGCAAGAAAGAAGATCAGCTTTAGGCTATGTTCAAACTCCTTTCTTAAAAAAACAACAACATTATCCTGCAATACATGAAGTATATATTAGCATACGGATATAGGGCTACAGAGCAAGGATGTATTACATACCTTAAGAAAACGGTTTCTCCATTTTGGTGATCAAAACTGGAGTAATATACCAAGAGTAAAATTTATAGTTCTTCTCTAAATGTAATATTCAGAGTAAATTTCATATCCTTTCATTGGAGTTTTCATTGCCGCACCTCTGTTACTGATCTGTAAGTTCCAGATCCTTTTAATTCTACTGTATAATCTTCAGATTGTTTCTGAATCCTACTTCATCAGTTTATAAATAAGGCCACACAGATATTCTGAGCGATGCATTATAAAATGTTTAAATTCAGTTGAATCTCTTTGTTTTCCCCTTTGTTTCTGCAGTTATTTTTGTACTATGCTATTTATATGAAGATAAACTCAGTCAAGTGTACTAGACCATTGTGAAGAGTCTCAAAAGATTTTATCTTTGTCTTGTTAGTAATCAAATATTGCAATCTAAACAGATTGTTCTCTCTCCACTGAATGAATTTCATTGTTTTGCTCGTCATAAAAATAAACAGTTAATAACAAAACAACAGGGGAACAATTAGGACTTATTATTTTCTTGTATTTATCCCAGAAATTTAATATATTACTTTTTACTGTAATAATGTATTCTGCAGTGTTTCTATTTGTATCAGTCCAGAAATATCAACTGTTATGAATGCTGTCCTTATTCTTTTTAATCTGTTTTACTCTTTTGAATCCTATAACATCTTGAATTTAATCCCTGATCTTTTATTGGAGCATATGCAATTTATTACTCATTTATGCTAGTTGCTTAATACTTTTCAATATGTATTGGAATCATACAGAAAAGCAAGTTAAGTCTTGGTAAAATATTCATTTTGATAGCAACAATTCTTCCTAACCAGAAAAGGTTTAATTTTTCTCATCTGAGAACATCTGCTATAATATTTCTCCAACTCTGTAAATAAGTATTTTAAACCAAATTCTTATTATTTTTGACAAGTAGATTTCCAAGAGTTTAACTTTTTGGCGGTAGTGTTAATGCCCATTACTTGATGCAGATATGGCTTTTCTTTCTCTGCTGAAGTCTATGCCAATATTTGGGGGATTTTTGTTATTGATCTGATAACTTGAAAGTAAGCCATATTGTGTGTATTTATTCCGTTAACAATCCTCTATGTTTTTTTGGTTTGTCTTGCCAGTTTGCATGAACATAGCATAGAGAGGTTTTTAGTCAAAGTATTTGACCTGTTTCAGAAAGCTGCAGATATCAATGTTATAATTAGGGAATTTTGTTCAATTTTATCTAATTTATCTAATTCTCTCTTTATCTAGTTTGCCTAGAAAACCCCTGCAGTTTTCTTGGCAAAGTTTTTTTAAAGTGGTTTGCCATTTAGCTTAAATATAAAACTGGCACCAAAAGGAGCCTGGAGCTGGGTTCACATCACATGCTAAACTCTAAATCTAGAGTTACATAGCATAAATATGTGTCATTTGTATCATTACATAGTTATAAGTGAATAAAGTACATGACTTAATGAGACAAAGGCAGTAGATATATGCTAACGATGCAAATATTTTTTTACATATGGGCAAAAAACACTTTTTAAGATTATCTGATCTCTGGCTATCTTTGGGGAGAGGAGAGAATAGCCTGGATCTAGATTTCATTCATGAAATTTAAAATCTGCTAAATGGGAATTCACTTAGAGTTTACTAGAGTTGGATTGCAGAATAGAATAGAATAGAATAGAATAGAATAGAATAGAATGGAATGGAATAGAATAGAATAGAATAGAGTAGAATAGAGTAGAGTAGAGTAGAGTAGAGTAGAGTAGACAAATAGAATAGAGTAGAGTAGAAGAATAGAGTAGAGTAGAGTAGAGTAGAGTAGAAGAATAGAATAGACTAGAAGAATAGAGTAGAGTAGAGTAGAATAATAATTTTATTGTCATTTTGAATGTACACTAATTGGCATACATTAAAATGAAATTTGAATAAACAAATATTAAGATGAGGTTTTACTATCTTCTTACTGTTACATACTGTATATACTCATACAGCTTCCTATACAAGCACATCTCAAAAATGTTGCAGTTCCAAGAGTTTATTCTGGAGTTGAACCAATGGAACTTATTTACCAGATAACAGTGATGTGTCAGTTGGAAATACTTCTGTTCCCCACTCAGTTTGATTATCAGAATCAGTGGCAAATTCCATTCCCACAGTTGTTTCTTCCCCAGAAGGAACTTCTTCTACACCGGGGATCATCTGAACTGTAATGAAGTCTTCTTCTATTTCCTCATACAAAGATGGTGTTGCTAAAAGACAGAAATCATTGTTCAGAATACTCAAATAGGGAAGTTCGAGGTAGATATAGAATGAAGTCTCCATGATATAAAGCATGGATCTCCAAATTCCATGCTGGCTAGAAAATTGTGGGAGTTGAGGTCCACAAGTCTTAAAGTTGCCAAGTTTGGAGACCACTGATACAAAGGAATGGGGAAAAAATTTGAATTCTGAGTGGAAAAGATTGTTCCCTCCAGTTCAGAAAGATGAGCAGTTCCTTACCTTTGAAGCAAAAGACATGATGCCTGGATTGGGGGTCAGGGAATCCTGTCTGATTGGAGTACAAGTAAATCGTTCTCACACCAGGCTTGTCTCCACCGCAGGTAGGGCGGGGATTAACGATGGGATATCGGAGGCTGCCATCAGCCAACCAGCCGGCCTGGCAGATATCTTGGCCCAACCTCCAGGCAGCGTAGAGTTGTCCAGTGGAAGCTATGGTTGCGTTTTGACTCTCACAATATCTTTGGGCTTCCAGGAAAGTGAATTGTGCTGTCTGAGTTGCAAAGAAGACCTCACCTATAGAAAAATGATGAACAGTGGTGAGGTCCTATCTCCATTAGAGCTATGCAGCACTTGGGATTCAATTTCTCCCAGACCCTACGGAGCATGGATCTAGCACCTATCCATAACACCTCCAAGCAACTGAAAAATCCCATAAATGGATGCCATTGCTTTTGCTGGAGGTCCAGATCCAATGGCCCTGATTTATGAACAGTTCCTGACCTACTAGCAACAATGGGGTGTAAAGATTATGTATTTCCTTTTTATCTCATCTTTCACTTCCTCTTTATCTTAGTCAGTGTTTCTTGACCAACTTTTAAAATATCTGGACTTCAACTCTTAGGATTCTGGTTGGAGAATTTTGGGAGTTGGAGTCCACGTGTCTTGAAGTTGCCAAAGTTAGGAAATGCTGGTCTAAGTGATTGCTGATCTGAAGTCACTTCCTTCAGTCTTTCTTTCTTCCAGGACACATGTACCACAAAGCTCATGCTTTTGATTCTCTTCCTACTGGGCTGTGGTTAGCTAGGGTCTAGGCTGTGTCTATTGGTACAATGCTTTTCCTGTAAATAAATATTCTCTCCGCAATGAAGCTTGCTTCACTAATCTTTGCTCAGGTCAGATTCCTGCTCTGCAGAATGTTTTTTTGTCTCACACCTACAAGAGCACTTCAGCCGTCAGCATCTTAAGATGTGGTAGACACCTACAATCTTCACCTTCAGAGATTGAAACTAAAATCGTCTAGCAGTATTTCCATGACTACACCAGAGATGAATACAACACTTCTCCAGAAGATCCCATAAATGTAAACATACCTTTCAGTCTTTCAATGTAACAGTAGGCATCAAACTTTTCTGATGCTGGGCGCATACCATAGGATCGCACTCCAGGGAAGTTCTGCTTGTCTCCTGCACATTTACTGCGTGGAACAACAATGGGATACCTGCCCAACAAGGATGGATCTCATCAAAGATCTCAGAATTTTTCACTAATAGCTGAGGAATGCTTTAGGTAGGCTAGGACAGGGGTCTGCAAACACAAGTCTTAAAGTTCTCAAGCTTGCAGACCCCCCGGGCTAGGATCATGTAATTGTTTTCAATGTAAGGATTGCACTTAGGTTTTTGGGAATGTGTTGGGAGCTATATTCCCAAAGTAGCTCAGGCTAAAACTATTTCATGAATTTATATTTAATTAACTGAATAAATTTTACGACCTCTGCATGTGTACTTAATGGACAAAATGTTAAAAGTTGTAGTTTTGCTGACAACCTTTGGAAATACTTCAGAGACCACCCAAAGCTTTCAGCTCTATGTACCTGGTGAGATCACAATGGGCAGATCTGAACTAGCTTCCTCAGCCGGCACACCATGGTATTAATAATCTCTTCGTTGAATGAAATTAAAAAGAATGTGACAACAACTTTGCATGATTTCAAAATCATTGTAAATTTGCCTTGCTCCTTAATTTTAAGCTTTGTATTCCTCCACGGGTGCTGTTGTCATGATTCCTGATTTCTGTTTTGTTTTATACTACGTCTTTAAACCCACTGTGAACTACCTTGAGTTGTTTGCCATACATTAAACAGCCTTATACATTTAACACAACAGATAAAATAAACAGAAACAGACTTCCAAATTTGTGGGGGAGAGAAAATGTACTTAGTAATCAAGAAAATGTTAGAACAACACATTTCCTTTCAGCTTTGCAAGCTACGTCATTGGCAGTTTCTGCACTGCAGTTTGAAGAATTTGAAACTCTCCTGTGAGCTGACAAGTTCAATGTAAATATTTTTTCTGGAGAGAAAAAAAAATGGGTGAGTGGATAACTCTGAGGTGAAGAGAGACCCAGATCGGTGCTTCAAAGCTTTGTTTTAGGCTTTAGAAGTATTAGGGGTTTACTTAGAATTCCAAGCATCATTTTCCAGGAAGAAGCTCTTGGAGTAAGATCCAACTCAATTTATAAACTTGAATCTCAATTGTATTATTTTAATCTGCAGTGGAAACTCTCCTGATGGAAATTCCCATTGAAATCAATCTCTGTGCCTAGAGAAAGGGCAAATAAGACAGAAGGCTAAACCTTCTCATTTTCTAGGATCACAGAAGATGGATCCAGGTGCACAAAACTTTCCAAACTCAGGACTGGCTTTGACTTTTAAGTGAGATACAAGAATTGCATTTGGGGATGCCAGGACAAAATTAAATGTGATTAATTACATTTGAATTGTAGTCAGATCAACTAGACACAGTCAATTAAGCCTTGATTGGGCTCCAATAACAGGAATACCTAGGGCACTTAAGATCACACTGGCCGCTTATAAACAACACCATAGAGTTTAAATGCTGTTTAGTTTTTTGGACAGCTTGCCTGTTTCTGCAAGCTCAACCAGTCTGGCTAGTCTTAAGGTCCAAGACATCACAAGGACCTAGCAAAAATGGATTCATTTAGCATCTGGGTTGTATGTGTTGCATGCAGCCCCTGTTTTTATATTGAAAGTCCAGTGGAAACTTTTTGAAGAGCAATGGGGACCCTCCCAAGCTTATACGCAGAATCCCATATATTCTCGTGATTTTGGAACCAATACTCAATAGATAATGTAAGGGGAAAAAAATTGGGCATCCCAATAACAGAATCTATAGAAATTATGGTACTCCTGCTTATTGGAGATCCCCGGAGGCTGATTAAAATAGACAGAAAAATCTGTTCTGCAGACAGGAAAATTCCTCTGCGTGATACGTTCCTTCCTTAGCCATCAGCCCAGAACCTTACCTGACTGTCTGGTCACTTAGCCAGCCAGCATCACACTGCTCATACCCTTCTTCATAGGCAGCCTGTAGTTGCTCTGGAGTAGCAATAGCAGCATGATTATCTAGGCAAGCTTGCTGAGCTTCAACAAAAGTCAGGGAATATCTGTTGGTGGATGGCCGGTAATGAAAAACGACACCTGCAGAGAAATCAACACAACACAAGTAGGAAGTAGGTTGAAAAAGAAACAGGATACATGGGTGGTAGTTAAGGAAAGAATAAAGAAGATAAAATATTTTTGCTGGGAGTTATTCCCTTATGCCATACAATTCTTGGTATCTGATTCACATGACCCATGGGATGAGGGCAGAGTTCCTGTGTGGTGCAAACACACAGACAAGGTTTGTTTAAAAGCATGCACCTCCCAAACTCAGCAGAGATTGTGTCTCATGAAAGGATCGAGAAGATTGTCTGTGTGTTGTACAGTGTGTCCATGTATGTTGAAAAGCTGAAGAGAGAAAAGGTATCAGAGAAGAAGAGGAAAAGTATGGAGAAAGTTAGAAGATGCTCTGGAGGTGAGGAAGACAGCCCAGAAACCATGTTCACACAACATGCTCAAGGAGGTGAGGCAGTTTGGAGAAGCTTAGTGCAAGGGTTTCATACTTGTTAAAAATCTGCCTCAGAAATGCTCTCTCTGCCATGCACATGGCAGGATCAACTCCTATCTCTCTTCCAATCATGAAATGCATTCTCACGGACATCGCTCCCAGTCTGAACCTTCAAGTAAAGACCCCAAATCTTTCTCTCTGGCTATGCTTTTGAATAATGTTTGTTTAACAGAATTTATATGGCTGCTCCAGTGGTGAGTTTCAGCCGGTTCGCACCACTTCGGCAGAATCGGTAGCTAATTTTTGATTGCCCAGGCCCAGAATGACTTCCAGAAGTGGCATCCACATAGAGAACCGGTTGTTCACATACTTGAATCCCACTACTGGACTACTCACTCTCAGTGACTCTGGACAGCGTACACAAATAAAAATCCAACATACAATCAAATCCAACAAACAATAAAAAATAGCTCCCTCCCACCTCCCTGGCTACAACAACCAATCAGATAAGTCACTTGATAGGCTCTTTGCCACTCTGGGTGACGATGATGATGATCTACTAATTACTTCAGTGCTTTTGCTGATTGTTTTTGAATTCTCTATTATTTTTGTCTATTGATTAGCTTGATGCTTCACATTGAAAAACAGAGGATACCCTTGGTTCCCTACCTGTGGGAGAAGCGGGTTTCTGAGGGACTTGATCCACAGCAGGAGCAGCTGTCCCTGGCACAATCTGCTCTTCTACCGTCAACGGTGAGGCTGATTCGGATTCTGTTGTGGCAGTGGACCATGAACTATATTCCTCTGACGTTTCTGGGATAGCCGTGGGGAAGAGTGCATCCAGGGTTGAGGCAGTATCATTTTCTAGCTCCTCCCAGATCCCGATCTCAGTCCTGTTCTCTGTCTCATCGGTGAAACCTGTTGGAAAGAGACCTGGAGCTTCTGTAATGCCTTCATCCACCTCCAAGATGGTGGTGGTCAGGTCTATAGGTTCCAAAGTTGCAATGCTTCCTCGAGCCTCTTCTTCGGTTGCATTGCGTGGAAGTTCCAGCTCAAAATCTGACTCCGTGAACGTCTGGATGGTGAAGCCACTGCCCAGCTCATCGACAGAGTCATCTGTGACATTCTCATGGATGACATGAAAGTCAACACCTAAAGCACAAAGAAGATAACGGTGAAGTTATTTGCTTTGGTAAAGCGAATCACAATAGGGAACCCGCCTTTTTAAGGCTGTCCCAGGACTATCCTCAAATGCTTATTTGAGAGGAAGAGAAAAGCACATCTGTGTATTTTTTTTTAAAAGGGTGGGAAGCAGAAAATGCTATGAAATATTGGAAGAAAGAACTGCCAAGACAGAATGGAAAAAAAAAATAGCTCAATGTCTCTGTTTCTACTCACCGGTGTAGCAAATGGCATCATAGTGCGAATGAGGGTAAGGATACCCTGTCTGGTTGACATAAAGATACACCGTGCGTACTCCCACCAGGTTGCCACCACAGATGGGACTTGGTTTGTTGATGGGATAACGGACACTGCGGTCTGCCAGCCAGCCAGCACTGCAGACATCCATCCCATCCTTCCAGGCTAGATACAATTCTCCTGTTGTTGCCAAACGTCCACCAAGACTATGGCATTTCTCTGCTGCTTCTGAGAAGGTGAACTTCTCAGCGGAGGTGGCATAGAAGACTTTGCCTGCAATCACAAGGCATAATTATGCCACCGATTAGCTCCCGAAATGGTGCCCCTTCTATTCATTGAGAAACTTCATTAGACTTTTCCGTCCATTATCTTTGCTTATGCACAGGGACTGAAAATTCCAGAGGAAAACACTTGGGTGTGTGTGTGTGTGTGTGTGTGTGTGTGTGTGTGTGTGTGTGAAAATGGATTAGAAAACACATTTCTGAGAATGAACGGATAGAAATTTGAACTCTTGATTTCTTAAGAACTGGACTGTGGAAAAATTACACCCCCTATTATTTTAAGACAACCCCACCCATTTTATCAGCCAGGTGCACAATGAAAAATGTGGATAAGGACTGAGGTTATTCCCTGTTGGATTCATTTGAAAAGAATAACAGGCGTCCTCCATCTTTTTCTCTTAGGATTTTTCCTTCCTCAGCTTGTTCCTTCTTTCACTTATAATACATTTTCATTAACTACTCAGATGCTACATCGTAGAAGAGAATTATGTCTCCCCTGGGAATCGTCTGCAAATTGCTTTCTCCTCCCCAAGTTTGCTACCTGCAAGTTCAACCTTTTCATTCAGTCCTAAAGATGAATCCAGAATATTAAGCTATGAAACCCACCAGCCGCCCCCTACAATTTCGGCATAATTTATCTCCATGGGTTGCTGAGAGGATTAAATTAGAAGCAGGGTACCAGATCTGCTATTTTCAGATTCTTGAGTGCAGGATTTTTAAAGTAAGAAAACAAGAGTTTTGATAAATCTAGAAAATGTTCTGAATAGGGTTGACAGTACAGTTATTACAATACAGATTTACTTGTAAAATCTATTTGAGACTAACAGACCCCCCTAATGCTTATTAAAGAGCATTTTCTTTAACTTTAGAGGCAGCTATTTTCCAAAATAATTTCAGAATTCAGAAAAAGGTGGTCAGTTCCTTCAAACATTCTGTCCTCCCTCCATCTCCGGCAAACAAACAGAACAGAATAAAGGAGTTGGAAGGGACTGTGGAGGTCTTCTATCTGCTCATACAGGAATTCCTCTGCCATTTTGGACAAATAGTTGTCAAATCTCTCTTGAAAACCTCCAGTGTTGGAATACCCACAACTTCTGAAGGCAAACCCTATCGCTCTTTGGAGAAGTCGTCCAGAAATTAGGTTTTGATATCATTATTATCTAGATAAGTTGAGACTCTAGTCCAGTGGTTCTCAACCTGTGGGTCGCGACCCCATTTGGGGTCGAACGACCATTTCACGGGGGCTGCCAAACAACACAGTCCGCCATTTTTCCCCCCTTTTCCTTAGCTGTGCTACTCCCTTTTATTCTATTGGCTTTTGAAAGCCAATAGAATAGACTCTCTTGAATAGAGTCTAATTCTATTGGCTTTCAAAAGCCAATAGGAATTGTCCAGGCTGTCTCTGCCCTGCTGAGCCTGCCAAAAGTCCCATTCTGCAAACGGTGCTGCACCAGTTGAGTAGTCCTCCACTTACGACTGGTTGGGGGCATTAAAAAGGTTGAGAACCACTGCTCTAGTCATTTGTGGATGGATAAGGGGAATGGACAAAGAAGAACAAGATGAATCTGATCAAACTGGTTGATCTTAACAGCTACTCTGCTGCTACTTCAAGTGATCTTCTCAGTACTCACCTTGATTGACCTTGAGCAGCTTAATTTTTGTTCTTGCCTTTAATTGTGCTGATTAAAATATCCACAGTACTCTTCCTGAGTATTGTGGATTTTTCCAATATTTTAGAGGACAAGAACTCCCACTTAATAATCTTTGTACACGTTGGGCTGAGAACTTATAACCCTAAAAAGCCTCTCAAAGCACATCAAATCCATGTGTTTATTTTGCTGCTTAAATCACTGAGCAATGTTTTAAGCCCTGCACAAGCTATTATTAATGCCTTCTAGCGGAAGAATAGAAGTGTGTTAAGTATAACAAGGAACTATTACCTTCCATTTCCTCTGCATAACAATAGACATCATATGTCTCATCTGTATCTCGAATACCATATGTTCTCACTCCAGGAAATCCATCCTTGTCACCATAACAACCTTCTCGAGGATGGTGCATTGGGTACCTAGTTTAATAAAAGAGTTGGGGGGGAAGGAAAATTTATCTTCAAGGGAAAAGGACGGAGAAGGGAAATAGTATACTCTGGGATAGAAATAATTTCTAGAAAAATCAAAAAGACGATTGAGCATTCAGAACTATAGCTTTTATGTTAACTGGAAAACTAACATGGAGAACCTCCACTTCGTGGACCACTGAGTTCCACCACTCAGTTCTCTGGCTTCTTCTCACTGTTTTCAATCTTCATTTTCTTTTTTCTTTTTTTAATTGTCCATCCCATAAATGTTTGCTCATAAAAATGAGAAATTTCTCCCTCGGGGAAACTCTTGTTCCAAGCTCTGATAGAAATGTTTCTCTCTTATATATATATATAAAAATGGAATTACAAGCTGTGATTGTTTTTTCTGCCTCTGCAGAGAAACAGAAAGAATTGGGATTACAGCTGAAGGGGACAAGCTTACAAATGGGGCATGTTTTCACTGCAGGTGCTGTATGTAGCGTGTCAAGGCGCCTAGGGCAGCGATGATTGAGTCATGTGGGTAGGACCAGATTTTTTTTTAATTTATTTATTTGAGAGGGAGAGACTTTAAGATATTTTGGGGTTTTTTTTTTTTCCCAACAGTTAAGCCTTTCCTGGGGCTTTTACCATAGTTCAATGGATAGGAAACCATGACAACTGGATTCTGGAACTGTAAAACTCATTAATGAGACCTCAAGTTGCCCATCTCTGCCTGGCTGCATAGTTGTGCAAAACTTAACCATCTGGAAGTCACTTAACTGCAACTCACAGCAAGCAGGCCAATCTGTGAGGGAAGCTGGGAGAAGTAGTTCAGTGACACCTGCGCTGAAGGTGTGCACCCATGCTTTTAAAATTTTTACTTTTCTTTCCTGAGTTTCCACTAATATTATCCAGGCCAGCAGAATTGGGTGGAGAGAAAAACCCAATTCTCTCACCTGCTATAAAGCCTTCAGTTCTCATTAAACGAGTTCTCTCACCTGCAGTTCTCATTAAACGAGCTGGAAGGAGATAGCCGAGTCACGTAGTCCCTAATTGCTGATCCACAGCACCACTTAATAGTATACCATGATTAGTCACTCCACACCGACCACTCTGGCTGGGGAACATTGGAAATGAATGTGTAGGAGGAGAGCAGGAAGAGCCAGGTAGTGGCGTCAAGAATGGAATCAGCCTAGAGTCACTATGTTGCCACAAATGGTTCTAAGGCCAACCTCTCTTGAATTCCACTGACTCTCTGTCTAGCACCAATGTAGTGATGTCTGTTTGTTGACTAGGTTCTTGTGTATAGACATGAGCAATACAACATTTTAACTGGAACTTAATGTGTGGTCCCGGTTCTTTGCATCTGACAGATGAATTGGTATACAACCCTCCCTTGGCAATTGCTTACCTGACTGTTTGATCAGACAACCAACCAGCATCGCACTGGTCAAAGCCATCATCGTACGCAGCCTGGAGTTGCTCGGGAGTTGCAATGACGGCACTGTTCTGGATGCATGCCTGCTTTGCCTTCTCAAAGTTTAAAGTGTAGCGGGTAGAGATGGCTCTGTAATGGAACACGATCCCTGGAAAACACATTGGTTCAGTTTACACAGCAGGCTTCACTTGGCTACTGAACTAACCCACTGTTGTGGTCTGTCAGCTGCCGGAGGACTCCACGGCCAACTCAGAGGAGGAAGCACAGAAGTGGGTGTCGGCCCTAGCATCGGGGCCATCTGAAAGCTCCAATGGGGATGAAGGAATGGAGCTGTTGCAGCCATGGACAGAGGTGGAGCCTGGGCCATCCGCCAGCCCCCAGATGGAAAGGCTGAGACCTCCATGCCTTGAGGCAAGTGATTCAGGAGAGGAGGATCACATGGGGCCAGTGATTGATGCGCAGGTGCGGCGGAGGCTGAGAAGAGGAGAACAGCAAGAGACTATGGGCCGGTCTTTGGGGCGGAAGAATCACCGCTGCTAATAGAACCCCACCCTCAGCTGTGGATAAAAGGCAGGGGCGGAGACGAATAGGTGTGGCAGACAACTATTCATCTCCCTACCAGTCAGGTCTGTTTGGAATTCCTGACTCTGGTTTGTAAACTTGCTGGAGTTTTCCTCAGATCCTGTGGCACTGGGAGTTGGAGTGCCTTCTGAGCGTGTGCATGTTGGAAAAGAGCCAGCTTGCCTGAAGGACTCCTGCTGCAAGCGTGGTGAGAGACTGAGATTAACTCTGGGTTTTGGGAGACCCCTGCAGGGGAAAAGGGAGCGAGTTCCATTGTTTGGAGGCAACTAAAGACCTGAACAGTCGGCTGTGTGAAACTGCTGGCATTCCTGAATAAAAGGAATGTTGAAGATTTGTTGGTGTGTCTGTGTGTTCGGGGAGTCGGGTCAGTACACCCACCTTCTGGATTGGTGCAATGTTTTGGTGCCTAGGTTAATAAAAGGACCGGGTGTCTACAAGGTGCTGGTTCCCCCAAAACTAGCCTAACTAGTTGCTTGTAGTTCAGCCACTCATATCCATAGAGATCAATGACAAAATCTAAAACCCTTTTCAGGTAAAAATGGTCAAATGGCTGACTTTTTAGCACTGCCATCTTCCTATGAGAAAAATGTGATCTTCATTTAGCACCTCAAGTTTGACATTTAACGCCCCACAAAAAAAGATGAATATTTTGGGCTTCACTCACTGAAATCAGATCACCCAAAGAGCATTGTGACCTCAGAAGCCAAAGGAAGGGAAACCCACTAAAAGTACATCTAATTTATACTGAAAGCAGTTGCATTATCCTTTGTGTGTGCATATGATCTAGTTGAGCTAATTCCTTTTGGACTAATGAATATCGTTGTAATAGACTGTGGACTTGCAGCAGTGGGGAGGGGGGAATTTAGGCAACACACACACACACACACACACACACACACACACACCATTCCCAGATAGAGTCCCGGGACTGTGCAATCCCAAGATGGAAGCAGGAGGGGAAAGAAGTTAGAAGGTTATACTTAATTTGGCAAGATTGATGTCAAGAGACAAGACAGTGAGATCCAGTTGAATCTGATCCTTATACCCAATAGGCAGAATCTTGCCAAACAAAAACTATAACCTTCTAACCTTCATCATAAACAATACATTTGTTTATATTTATATTTGCTTCTTTGTCACACATTCAGACGAATACATGTTCACTGTAAACAGATTCAATGCAGATATTCCCTCAGTCACTATTCTTGTTCATGACTCATTGTTCTCCCTACTACCTCATCTCATTCCCACCCATCCATTCAGGCTACTTAGCAGAATATTTTATCATGCTGGATCAGAGAATATGGTACCTTTGTACATCTTTCATTATCACTAAAGCATAACAGCCACCAATGTTCACTTGGAGCATTCTAAATGACACTGGTTCATACTTTCTGACATATAACTTAGTCTTCTGATTCATAATTAAACATATAGTGTTTCTTCAGAAATCAATGAGCACTAGTAGGAATAAAAATGGAGGTACCAATAAAGAAGAATCGTTGAAATGAAATCAGGGTTGAAATGAGAGGTCCTTGGCGCTCTCTGAGCTTAGTTGTGTTTTTGCAAATGTTTCATTATCCAAACCAGGTAATGGTCATGAGTGCTAACACTGATAAAAACAACCAATGTTAGCACCAAGGACCCCTCATAAAAATGGAGGGGAAATTTGCAGCACATCCCCAATCAAAAGTCAGCTCAAAAACAGTAAAGAAGATTTGCTTTCTCACCTTTAACTTTCACCTCCACCATGTCCTGGCTGTCCTCGATACCATGAATTACTTCACAGCGGTAGATCCCAGTATCATTGGACCGGAGTGTCTTGATTTCCAAAGTAGCATCAGTTGGTATGGAAGGATAATTGGGTAGAGAGATAGATTCTTGGTAGGCAGTGTTGATCCGTACCTGCCCATCCATGGCCACTAGAAGGATAACTTCTTTGTCTTCTGATAGTTTGCTCCATTTGATTCTTGGGGACACTGGTGGGGTGTTGGGAGCTGTGGTGATTGGCCCCAAAGTGTCGATAAAGTAGCAGGGAATGGTCAACGTTCTTCCCAAGGGAACACGCAGGGGAGAACGTAAAGGTATGCTCACACTGAGTGTGGCGCTGTGGTCTACTGATCCCCAAGAGAAAAGGAGAAAAGAAGAATGAAATATCAGTACCACAGGATCATCCCTGTTGAACAGACAGAATCATTTCCAAACCAGGCCCCATGGAAGAACTGCCGGTGTCCTTTTGGCAAACATGGCCAGCCCTTGGCCATAACTCAGAGTGGTGTGATTTTTCACCAGTTTAAAGCAGAAAACAAGTGGAATGTTTGTTTGTTAAATTTATTTGCTGCCCAATCTCTCTATGGGGCTACTCGGCAGAAATATGCAACTTTCATCAATTTGTCAAACATTAACACAACTTTTAAAAAGAACCAGTGGAACAGCTTGGCTCCAGAAATCATGGGAGCTCCTTCACTGGAGATTTTTAAGAAAAGACTAGACATTCACCTGTCTGTGACGGTATAGGTTCTCCTGCTTGAGGGTTTACGCCCTTCCCATTATCCTGCTAACCCTCTCTAGCTTACTCTGCTTGGGACTGTTTAAAAAACCTACTTGGAAGCTGCAGCGGGTCCAGATTGCAGCAGCCTAATTTGTGTCATTGGGAGCACATTATGCATGTGCTACAACCCTACATTAGTTGCCAATAAGCGTCTAAGTTCAATTTAAAGTACTGGTTTCAATCAAGTGCTATGGCTTGGCACTTGGCTGCTTTCAAGATGGCTTTCTCCAGTTAGAATCAGCTGGAGCTACACAATTATTCCAGAAGAAGCAGCTTGTGGTTCCTCACTTCCAGGAGGTGAAAGGGATTGTGGTTCTTCAATTCTGGGAAGTCACTGCTTTGTGGCCGTGCCGCCCCTTTAGAATGGCCTCCCAGTTGACATTAGTTTGGCTCTCTCTCTAATGGCCTTCAGCAAAAAAAGAAGAAGACTTAAAACAGAGCTCTTTTGTAGAGCATTTGGGGACTGAGCCCACTTATTGTTATTTTGGTTATTGTTTCTCTACTATATTTTATCCTTCTTCTTTAGTTTCTGCCATGGTGATTTTAACCATAAGTGTACACATCTGTAAAAGGCTGAGAGAGTTCTTAAGAAAAGGGCTGAGGACATGGAACCTTCTGGATGTACAATAGTAGCTAAACCACAACTTCCATAAACTCAACCAATATGCTTAATAGTATAGGATGATGGAGATTGCAGCTACCAACACATGGAACGTCATATGATATTCTTTCTTGTTTCAGAAGCTGTTCAATATCAGAAGATGGAAACTCTAATAACTTAGAATGTAGAAGCAGCACCATGAGAATACTTTTACATTGTCAATGACTTGCCAGAAAAGCAACAGAATTGCTTCTGTTTTTCTCTTTACAGTTCATACTAAAGGTGAACCCTTAGTGTGACATACCTAAAACTTCCACAGAGGTGGCTGCAGCAATGACACGCAAACACACAAATGCTAGTAGTAAAGTGGTCATGCTTTTCCTGAAATACAAATAGAGGATAGCAAATTAGTATTTTTGCTAGGATGAGCAAAACGACAACCAGGGACAATTTAACAAGAGGTGCTTCAGTCCGTATCAAGCACCTAGACAGACAACAATATTTTACAACAACATATTTAGGATTTCACCTTTTCTAGCTGGCAAGGAAGAAAAATACTTTGCCTTTCAATATTTTGGATGCGCTGCCTACTACAGTCAATACGGACTTTAAATTAAGAGGTGACAATGTTCAAAATTGGTGTTTGGTCACAGCTGGAAACTGGACATTGTCATTTCCTAATTAGCAGCTGCCTATTGCTGCTAAGGTTTATTAAATCACAGTTTTCTGATGCATCTGAACAAGGAGATTGGCTTATGGATGGCACAAATTATACTTGCAACAATGGTTTAGTCAGAACATTTTTTCCAATTCAGATAGAATGGAAACTGTGTTTTAATCCATCACGGGAGCATGGCAATAAGGTGAGTGAGACGTGGGAAAAGGGGAAATAATGAGCCCACAAGTGGTACTGATTGGTTGGGTTCACACAATACAATAAATCTAAAGACCAGGTTGCCAAAATATAATTGCTTGATTCACGTAATGTGCTATGTCCAAGCAAATGATATTATAGCTTAATAAGATGAGCCAGGTTATATAAAATGCCTGTGAGATTCTCAGTCATCCAGATCATAGTTGTCTCAAAGGTGCCTTTTTCAAAAGGCAATTGGACTGTTTTTTCCTTGAGGAAGAAAAAGACGACATTTTGCATCTCATCCAAGAAGCTTTGTTGGTTTTTTTTCATCCTGCTAGAACCAATGAAGCTTCTTGGATGAGAAGTGAAACATCTTAACAGAATAACAACATTGGAAGGGATCAGAAGGCAGGACAAGAAACAATGGATGGAAACTAATCAAAGAGAGAAGCAACCTGGAATTAAAGAGAAACTTCCTAACAGTGAGGACAGTTAACCAGTGGAATGGCTTGCTGACAGAAATTGCAGGTGCTCCAGAACTGGAGGTTTTTAAGAAGAGATTGGAAAGCTGTTTGTCTGAAATGGTATAGGGTTTCCTGTCTGAGCAGGGGATTGGACTAGAAGACCTCCAAGATCCCTTCCAGCTCTATTCCAATTATGTCCACAAGAAAGCATCCCATTAGATCAGAAAATCAAAACTGGTTCAGAAAAAACATGTTTTTTTCAGTGAGCGGAAATTTCACTATAAAAACCAGCAGGAGCTCAGCTGGCTTCATATCCAGATACCTAATGAGGCATAAGTTGATATTAAAGTAGAATTGACTTAAGAGCATAAGTGGAGAATAGAATGGGGGTCAACCTGAACCAGACAATAAAGTATATTTAATATACCAAGTCATACATTATTGGATTTCTAGGAAGACCCATAAAAATATAGAAATCATCTTTCAAAATTCTCCAATTTAGTTCTGGTCAGATGGGGAATGAAGGCGGAGAAGGTAGAAGCAATTGCGTGATTTTTTTTCCAAATACAAATGAAATTCTCCGAACATTTTACCACTGAGATTTTTTTTTCTGTCAAGCCTGTTATATCCACCACAATTAGTTTCTTGATCACGTAGAAAATGAATGGATCATGGAATAAACTAATCCTCAATTTAATCCAGCACAAATGACCAAAGCTGGATGAATTATAGAAAGACCTGGAATTAAGGAGAAATTTCCTAACAGTGAGAACAATTAACTAGTGGAACTGCTTGCCTTCAGAAGTTGTAGGTGCTTCATCACTGGAGGTTTTTGAGAAGAGACTGGACAGTCACTTGTCTGAAATGGTACAGATTCTCCTGCTTGAGCAGAGGGCTGGATTAGAAGATCTCCCTTTCAGCTCTATTCTGATTGATTGATTAAAGATAGACTAAAGGAAAGTTAGCACAATTTCAGATCTTTTGGACTCTACTGATATGAATAAATTGCATCACTTCTAAAGAACAATTTCTCCCCAAGAAAGATGCCATGTTGCATCTGATTAGGCATCTGGTCCCTTCCAGTCCATATTCTATTCTATCCAGCTCTCTAGGTGCTAGTCTGGGAAAGGTGGAATGAAAAAGACGAAGACGCCAACAAGCCACAAGGTGGATTGGTGCACCATTGGACTTGAAGGGCCAGGTTAGGGAGTAGAGTAGAGTAGAGTAGAGTAGAGTAGAGTAGAGTAGAGTAGAGGAATAGAATAGAATAGAATAGAATAGAATAGAATAGAATAAGCAATAGAATAGAATAGAATAGAATAGAATAGAATAGAATAGAATAGAATAGAATAAGCAATAGGATATAGAATAGAATAGAATAGAATAGAATAGAATAGAATAGAATAGAATAGAATAGAATAAGCAATAGGATATAGAATAGAATAGAATAGAACAGAACAGAATAGAATAAGCAATAGGATATAGAATAGAATAGAATAGAATAGAATAGAATAGAATAGAATAGAATAAGCAATAGGATATAGAATAGAGTAGAGTAAGTAGAGTAGAGTAAGTAGAGTAGAGTAGAATCTGCGAATTTACAAGTCGGATTGCATAAGAAACAAAGCTGTTGCAGAATCTAGTAGTCCTGCTAGAAATACTTCAAAACCTGGAGAAGATCTATCTATATGTTGGCTACTTGATGGCACACAATCAATCACTAATCAATCTTCATTTTATTATTATAGGCCACAGTTCTGCTGAAATTAATTTAGCTTTTGTATTTGTTGAATTGTCCCAGGCGAGTTGTCCCACAGCAAGTTGGGTGTGGCAAGTTGGCCCATTTGGGCTACATATTGTGATAAGACAAATGCATGGAAAACACCTTATATTTTATATTTTGCAGCACAATATAACAACATCAGATCATTTGTTCATTCCTAATGACATGGCATGTCTAGCCAGATTTAAACTTGATTTCTTCAGCTTGTTGCTTAGAGCTTTGCACAAAGCTCCAGCTCAGTAGATTAATTTACAGCTCAGTGTATTTTACAAACCCAGAAGAACAGGAGTTATTCAAGAAACAGGTTTAATGTGTTCCCCAAAGGCTGCTTCCATATGTCCCACTTAGCAAGTCAACATTTGTGCAGGTCTGCTGAACTCAGTGTATTCCAGCAAGTTCTGCCTTTTTCTATCCATGGACCCAGGACATAAATAATTACTTTGGATTAAGCCGGTTCTTTTTTGGGAGGAGGGGCACAAGGGGGAGGGGAGGCAGCGGGGGGGGGGGAGAGAACACTGAAAAAAAATATTCCCTTGTTTCACTGCTATTCTTTACTGGGCCTTCTTGGAATCAATCAAACTGTTAGAGCACAAAAACGGCAAAAGTCAAAACTAAGAAACTTTACAGCTGTTTGTTCTGGGTCATGGAAGGAAAAGTACATCAGGTGCCTCAATTATTTTGGGGAAGTCCTTCCTTACTGATCTGTCAGCTACTTGAAGGCCCAGAATGAAGCACTGCCTTGAAAAATGCCACCAGTCTGGCTAGGTTCACTCAATAAATTAACTTGCAGCTTGGGGAAGCCAAATCTGCCCACGGAGTTTTCTCTTACATTCCGTTTCTTAAAGGGAGATATGCAAAAGAGAGACATTTTACAAATAAACTAAGCACTGAGAATTTTTCCTAGATGTGAATCTGTTGCTTTCGCATTTGAATTGTGTTAATTGCGCATTCTTAAGCCATTTGCAAATGTTCATTAGACCTCCCTTTTTTTTAAAAAAAATAATAATTAAATCACCCTCCCTTCCAGTGAGATCTTCATTCATTTTGTTCCATTTTATTGCAGCTTCTATGGTTACTTCCAAAGCAGTTTAGGAACATGATTATGAGCAAAACAACCATGTCAAAAAGCAGTAATAATATAAAAACAGCAGCAACCCAGTCATTATGGAAAGCAAACAATAAAAACACAGCTGTGCCAGTCAATGTGAATATCATTTCCGCACAATATCACCAATCTTTCCATAACTAACACTGAATGAGTACATTCTTATTCAGATACAACACAAACACGAAGATTTCAAGGCGATGTAAATTTAATTATTAAATAGTTGCAACATGACATCCTTTCCCTGCTACAAAGAAACTAATAATAAATCACTGAGCTCTGTAATTCTGATATTTGAATTATTACTTACAATATCACTAACCTTTCCATAACTAACACTGAATAAGTATACTCTTACAAACACAAACATTTCAAGCTAATGCAGTCATGAACTACTCTGAGCTCTAAGATTCTGATACTTGAAACTATGTTTGTTATTTGGCTAATTTATTATCTACACTGCAGTCTAGATCTGGATCTATTGCCTTGAACTAGGCTGAAACCTTTTCTCCTGAATAGCTTTTCTCAACTAGGACATCTCTGAGTGTGTAGAGCAGTGGTTCTCAACCTGTGGGTCGGGACCCCATTTGGGGTCGAACGACCATTTCATGGGGGTCGCCAAACAAGGCTGTCAGCCATTTTTCCCCCTTTTCTTTGGCCATGCCCCTGGCACCCGGTGATGTATAAGTAGTTGGGGGTCACCACAACATGGGGAACTGTATTATGGGGTCGCGGCATTAGAAAGGTTGAGAACCACTGGTGTAGAGCTTGTGGAGAATTTAATTCCAGAATGTTTAACGCTGCCCCAAAGGGCTGAGAATTATGGGAGATGACGTTTATCTATCTGGGAGTCCCCAGGATGGAGCAGAGCACCATGGACAGCTTCACCATTTCCAAAAAACAAGATGGCCATTGTTATGTCAAATGACTCGTAGAGATGCTTAGAAGAACCATTTTGTACAAGACTGAAAGTGGATGGAACAACCTTCTCATTACAGAGGTTTTTTTTTTTTTTTTTTTTTAAATAAATTATTTTCCAGTGGGCAGACTCCTGAATGAAGAGTGGAATGAGTCACAACTGCATTTAAACAAGACCACAGATGAACGAAATGGCTAGAGATGGCCACACCTAGAATTAAAACCCAACTTGACTTTTTCATAGCTTAACAGGGA